AGACCTCCAAGAGGGCCCCAAACCGGCCCAAGACGGCCCCAAACCGACCCAAGAGGACCCCCAGGCAGTCCCGACAGGGCCCCAAGAGGCCCCAGGAGGTTCCCAAGAGGCCCCCAAGAGGCCCAAAGAGGCCCCCACTGGGCCTCCAAGAGGCCCCCAGGAAGCCCCAAGAGGTCCCCAAGAGTCCCAAAGGATCCCGCAAGGACCCCACAGAAGTTCGAAAACGCCCGACAAGGCGCCCAGGACAGGCCCAAAACGGGCCACGAGCCCGAACAGGACCCCAAGGCAGCCCAACAGAGCCAATACGCGCCCAAAACGGGCCCAAGCCAGAACGGGATTGTACCACATCCCACAGAGGCCCTCAGAAGGCTGCGGGAGGCTCCAATAAGGTCCACGTGACGTTAACACTCTGAACGCGAGGCCTCCCCAGAGCGAACGGCGGCGCAAAACAACTTCAGCGTCGAGATAATCGGGCCCCAATGCGACACGCTCCCGACGCCCTCCAAGGCCCTCACACACGACCTCTTCCATGACCCAAAGACAAGGTCATTGGTAAGCCCAGGTTGCAATTCCACATTCTGCCGTGTCCTCCATGCCGTCTCCTACCCAAGTCGTTCGGCACTCGCGAGCCCTTCACTACGCTTCTGGCCCCCCCCTCTGTGGCCACGACCGCGTACATGTAAATGGGCATGCACATGTGTACACGTAGATCTGCCCAAGTAGTCATGCAATATATGTATGCGCAATCACGGATCTGTATATATGTATAGACATGTATGTATGCTTATTTTTTGTTTTCATATATACATATATATACGTACAGCAATCTAGCCACACACACATACACACACATACGTAGCACCCCGCAATTGCGGATAAGAGTGAGGAGGGACCGGAAGGAGAGGGTGGAAATGAACATGGGGGAGTGGCGGAATCGACTTCGGTGACTTTTTCAAGGCAAGGGCTGGGCTGCAGCGGCCAGTTCGGGCAACAACCCAACGAGGGGAACGCGCCAGCGCGCCTCTCCACGCACGGCAGTCCAGAAGCCCCCTGGGATCTGCTGGCCCGCCAAATGCTTGGTCTCGAACTCGACAATGCACTCCCGGACCGCCGAAGTGCGCGCTTGCGCGCGGTCGTCTGGAACAACAGCACGCAGTCGCCAAGCCCGGGCTTTGGTTTTGAAGTCGCACGCCACCAGAACGCCAGCTTTCACCCGCACAGAGCGCACCAGGCAAGAAATGCAACTGGTCGGCGCGACGTCGGCAGCCACGCGCACGGCAGCCGTGCAGTTTGGGCACTCGTGCCAAACACCTGGCCGTGCCAAGAGAGCCTCAGAACATGAACGAAACAGGTCCTCAAGGAGACGGGTCCTACACCCCAGAATCTTCCAAGGTCGTTTTTTGAAACCCCGAGGGCGCGCGGGGAAGCCCTGGAGGGCGAAAGCGGCGATGGAAATGGGGGACATTTTTCCTTGAGGCCCCCGTTCCGTCATGATGAACCTCGCGACGCGCAGCGGTGGCAGCTTGCAAGCCAGACTGGGAGCCACTGGGCGCGCGCGGGACGCCATGGCGCACGAGGCGCTGGACTTTGGGTTTCGCGCGCGCCTTCGGTACCATGCTCGGGCCGAGACGGCTACGGAAGAAAGGCTGAAGGCGACCTCCACGCGCGCTCCCCCGGCGCGCCCTCCCGACGCGCCCTCCCGGCGCGCCCTCCCCGCGCGCCCTCCCCGCGCGCCCTCCCGGCGCGCCCTCCCCGCGCGCCCTCCCCGCGCGCCCTCCCGGCGCGCCCTCCCGGCGCGCCCTCCCCGCGCGCCCTCCTCGCGCGCCCTCCCAGCGCGCCCTCCCCGCGCGCCCTTCCCGCGCGCCCTCCCGGCGCGCCCTCCCCGCGCGCCCTCCCCGTGCGCCCTCCGCGCGCGCCCTCCCTGCGCACCGCCCCCTCTGGCCACGCGCGCACAGGGACAGAGAATGACCGTTCGGCCCTCCTCACTCTGATATATATATATATATATATATATATAAACATACATACACACCTATATCTCGACATAAATATATGACATGCATGCACGTGTGCGCGCATGACACATCTGCACAGTTTCGCGCGCGCATGATGTGCACGCGCACGCACGCCGCCTGCGTACGAAACTCGAAGGACCAAGGTGCATGGCGCGAAGCGCCACTGCAGTCTTGTGTGTATATATATATATATACATACACACAGACCCCAATGTATGTTTATTGGGCCTCAGGGGAGAGCTTGAGAGCCAACGACTTTACACCGCCACCATCCTTGAAGGCATAGGCAAACATCGTCGGCGGGTGTCTGTGTATATCCGTACCCTTGGCTCAAGCCCCTTGACTCAAGCTGCTCTGGCCCGAAGGAGCCTAGCAGGCTTGCTGCGCCCGGGGCGGCGACCACCCGCCCGCCGCGCTGCCTCTGCGGACGATGGAGTCCGCCGCGGCGCGGCGCCGCCGCCAGCGGCGTGCGCGTGCCGCGGGCGCCACCGGCTTGCGCCGCGGCTGCTGCGGGCGCCATTGGCGCCGCTTGCGTCGCGGGCGTTGCCGATTTGGCCCGCGCCGCCGGCGTCGCCGGCGCGGCGGGCTCCGCGGGTGCTGCCAGCGCCAGGGCTGCCGCTGGCTCCGGGGGCGCCGCTGGTGCTGCGGGCGCCGTTGGTTTCGCGGGCGCCGCGGGCGCTGTCGCGCGCCGCTGGCGCCGTGGGCGCCGCGGGCGTCGCGGGCGCCGCGGGCGTCGCCGGCGCCGCCAGCTCGGATTGCGCCGCGGGCGCCGCGGGTGCCGTGGGCGCCTCCGTCGCGTTCTGCGAGCTGTTCCTTGACCTGCCCGTTGGCACCGCTGCCGCGGCCGGCGGCTCTGGCCCCCAGGTCCCTTCGTTCGAAGAGCCTGCGGACCAGCAGATGCAGCCTGCGATGGGGACCGCGATCAATCGCCTCGCCACGATCCGCGTCACCAGCACGTCTTCGTAGGACGGTCTGATGGGCATGGATTGGATTTTGTTTTGGGATGGCGTTTTCTCTTTCGCCTCGGGTGGACTCGTCTCGGAATCCTGGTGTGGACGTGGTCCCTGGGAGGCTGATCTGGTTTCGTGTCTCCCTGATTCTGCTGGCATGCACGTGAGTCGGCAAGTCGGTTATGTTGATGGGCGCGAGTCTCACATATCCGCAATGCTGGCTTTCCGCCGACCCAGTGTCCCAGTGTTTTTGACATGCGCATGCCTTTTCCACCCAGGTAATGTTGACATGTACTCGCCTCGTGCAACCGAGATTGCGGCTTTTCGCTGTTCCAGTGTTGTTGACCTCTTCATGCTTCATTCCACGGTTGCTTCCGCCTGTGGTCGCCCTGGTAGCTCAGTTGGCGATCGAGCGGCCCCAGCGCAGGACGTGCGGGTCCCTGACAGGTCACCAGCCGCCCCCAGAGCGGAATCCCTGGAGCCCGACAGAGACGGCGGAGAAGAGCCGCCAGTTCTCCAACCCGTCTTGCCTGGCGACCCTGGGCGAAACGAGGGCTGGGGTGACTGGGGCGCGCCTGGGAGGCGACATTCCGATTTGGCCAGGGGTCAGCCCCCCGAGCATTGATTCCATGCCTCTGGAGCCGCGACCCTCAGCCGACCTGGTCACGGTGACGTGCTCGTGTCTCATACTGCCACTTTTTCGGCTTGTCTTTGCCCCAGTGTCAGGGGCATGCACGTGCCTCGTTCCCCAGATGCCTCGGCCTGTGGCCGCGCAGGTGATGCTGTCACGCACTCGTCTCTCATCCAACCGCTGATTCGGCCTTTCGGCAACCCAGTGTTGTTGACATGCGCATGCCTCGGTCCACTGATGCTTCGGCCTGTTGCCGCCCTGGCAGCTCAGCCGACAACTGGGCGACCCCGGTGCAGGACTCCGACGCCGTCGGGGAAGCGAGCCTCGTTCAGGAAACGGGGGCCATCGGCCCCCTATCTGAAACCGACTCTGGGGGGCAGCAGCAGGGCCCCAGGCAAGACAAGGGGCGGTGGGACCAGGGCGGCGTCTCCGAGGCAGGAAACGATGCGCCCGCAAAATGATTGTTCTTGGACAGAGACGCTGCTACACCCGCTCCTGGCCCCTGAGCCCTGAGACGCAGCCTTGTTCCCGTCTAAGTTCTCGATCCGCACCGCGCCCGCCTCCCAGGAAGCAAACACGGCCGCCGTCCGCAGAGTGGTGGCGAAGGCGATGTGCGCGCCGCGACAGCGACCGCGCCGCCCCGGGCTCCCACGGCGCGCCCGGCGCCTCTGACCGCACCCGCGCCTGTGCTGCCCTGGGCCCACCCCGCCCCAGAGCACGGGTCGGCGACGCTCCCGAAGCGCGGTTTTCGGAGGCCGGCGCTCCTCGTTCCGCGCGGCCCTCTGGGAGGCAGGGGGCCCTGGCGTTGTGTGCCGCTCGGGGCGCCAGCAGCGGCCGAGGCCCCCGCCCCGCCACCGTGGCCCCTCCCGCTTCCCAGCCTGGTTCTCTGCCCGCCGGGGCCCACAGCAGCCCTTGGGACCCACGGCCGGCAGCCGCCCCCGCCCGCGCCGGCCTGGATCGACCCCTTCGCGAGGGGGGCGCGAGGGCAGCGAAGCCGAGGGGGTGCTGCGCGCGTGCGCCCTGCTTGAGGGCCCCCCCCGGCGCCGTCCCCCCTCCCAGACGCCCTGGTCCACGTTCCGCCCGTCGCCGCGTCCGGGGTTGCGAGCTTCCTCGCGCACGGTGTCTGGGCTTGCCGCCTGCGTCTCTGTGTTTTCGCACGTGTTTGGGCTTTTCGCCCCCACGCTGGTCGGGTTTCGCCCTCGGGGCCGCTGGTCGGGCTTCCGCCCTGTGGACTCCCTGCCCGCCTCATACCCTGCTTCGCAGGTGTTCTACTTGATGGGCGGCGTCCCAGTTCACGTGCCAGGTCTTCCTCTACACGGCCTCCTTGTGTGGGTGTCCCGATTCCTTCCCGGCGTTCCCCCTGAAGACATCTCCGCGCCCCAGCTTTGGCGCTGTACCCAGTCTCGCATCTGGCCACTTCGAGGATTTCCCTTGCAAGCTTGGCTCCTCGCTTTGAGCCGAAGTTGTCGGCGCCATTCCCGTTTGTGCGGTGTACCTGGTCTTTCTGCCATTTGCCTCCAAATCCTTCCTCTTCAAGTTTCGGTTCTCCTTTACGAGCCGCAGTTTTGATGCGCCACCCCAGTCGCCGGACTTCCTGACGTTCATCGGCGCCTACATGTTCTTCACCCCACGCGGGTGGCTCTGCTGCTTGGACGCGGCGCGCATGTTCTCCCTGGGCACTCCCGCGCCAGCCTTCGCGGTCTAATCGGGTCTTTTTTCCTCTTCTCGCGTTTTTTCTCTTGTCGCTTCGTGCCTCAGTTCGCTTCCGGTGCAGCCCACCGCTCGCCTTGACCGGCGCTTGACCGTCTTGTACCACCTGGCGCCCGCGGATTCAAAAGTCCGTGTGTGTATGTATTTGTGGCGCAAATACACCCAGTTCATCGTCCATTACCTCCTTGCCCTCCTGTCCTGCCCTGTGGTCCTCTCTTCTTTTCCCTCCGTCGCGCTCTGCTCATGGTAGAAGTCATGTCGGGACAAGGGGGGTTTGGTCTCGAAGGAGTAAACAGGTGCATACGTGTAGGCTCTTGGAGCGCGCGAGCGGAGCGCGCGGAGCGCGCCAGCCAGGCGGGTCTAGCGTCTAGCGCGGGTCCAAGAAATCCGCGAGGACATTTGGCAGTTATTGGTCCTCCAGACGGAAGATAACTGCACCGTTCCAGAGAATTCTGCGAAGCTCTGGAACAACCGCGGCGTCCAATATATTCTCCTGGCTTGTCGGTTTCCAGAGATTCGATTCCTTCTTTGCCTCTTTCCAAGCTTTCTTCCTGCCGAAGAGGATCGCAAGGATGAACCGTTTCCCACTGACATTCGTTCGTCTTTGCAGTTTTGGCCCATCTTCAGCCAGTACCGCAGGCCACTTCCCAAACAGTGCTCGCGCTGATGAGTTCTTGTTCCGCGTTCCACTGAACCAGACTTGTGTGCCGCAGTTCTACTGGTGGCCGCTTGATTTTACGCGTGCCTTCATATGGCTTCCCCGCTGGTTCTGTGCTCCGCAATTGATCTTGTGTCTGCTTGATTTCTTATGGCTGATCCCCCGTGGCCCTGTGTGCCGCAATTCTTCTGGTGGACGCTTCGCCTTAATGGTTTCCTATGGTTTCCCCCACCGGCCTTATTTGCTGTACTCTTTGGTGGCCGATTGGCTATGGCTTACCCCTCCGCCAGCCTTCTGTGTCGCACGTTCCAGTGACCTTTCGGCAGCCTACGGCTTCGTATGGATTCCCCCCCACCGGCCTTGGGTGGCATGCATTCTTGCACATTTAGACTGCACCGCATATTTGATCCCTTATAGAAAAGAGAACAAACAGACTCTACCACCGATCCCCCCAGGGATATCGGCACCCTTGGGGCACGGCAAACGACATACGGTTCTTACACATCGTACATTTCCGTATGAGTTCATACCATCCCAGGCTGGCCCGGTATCGCCCCCCCATCCTTGTCGAATACTTTTATGTGCGTGCACACTCGTTTATCGCGATCTATCAGTCGTTGTAATCTCTTGTAACCAAGGACACGAGGCCCACAGGCGCGCGCCCATGTCGAAATCACACCAAGCACACCAGACTTGTAAGCACTTCGACATAAACACATCAAGCGCTTGCTTCTCTGCCCGCGCGCACTTGTTGAGATCACAGGGAACCCATCCGATTTTACCCATCTCGGCCAGAACCCGCAGTCTCCTTTCACCACTCGGTGCATCCGCGTTGATCCAGCATGCGCCCAGTGGTTACCGTGCGGGCCACACGCGCGCGCCGCCACGCGAGCGTGTCGGAATCCTTTCAAAAACATGGGTTCCCGAGTCATTGTGTGAAAAACGAGATGTTTTTTTCCACCGAAGGTTTGCCAGGGTTTTTGAGTGAATTTCCGCGCGCTCGCACTTCCTCACCGGCACCCTCATCAGCGCCGACGCATCACGTCATCGTCGGACATCATCATCGGAATCGACGTTACCAGCATCGGCGCCGCCATTGGCCTTGCCGTCGTCATCGTCGTCATCGCCACCACCATCGGTACTATCATCATCGTTGCCGCCGTTATCGGCGTCACCATGACACCACGCCCGCCCGAACCACCGATCCGTGTTGAAACGCCCGCGCGCCAGTGCGGCCTTGGAGGTGCGCTGGGATGTTGCCATCCGTAAGTGCCATCGCGGCCGCATTGGTCGTGCCAAATCAGCTGGCTGTTCTGCGCGCGAGCTTGCGCGTGCCAGCGCGGCCGCAGAAATGCTCCAGCCAGGGCCAATCAGTCATCGCAATCCTCGCCGCATGGGGTTTCCAACACAAATTGCGGGTGGGAGTGTGGGATGAATGCGCGAGCAGTGGAGTTCACATCTCATGCCATGCCAAAGTAAACAAAATATATTGCACCGTGTAGATCCGATGGACTACATCACATTTGTTGCGCTGCATACATGGCGCCCCTAGCAGTCACCGAATGGATTGCACCCCGTCGGTGACGCCTCCATCAAATGTATCCAACATATTGCACGGAATCGTTGTTTTTGGTTCGCGCGCTGGCAACATGTTTTCGAGTCTGGAGGCGTATATTTCTTGTGCCTTCTCTTTACGCATGACCCTCCGCGGAAGGCTCCTGCACACAATGCCTTGCCACAATCCTGGGTACATCCTGTTCTGGTGGTGGTGGTGGTCGTGGTGGTGGTGGTGGTGGTGGTGGTGGTGTTGTGTAGTTGCCTTCTCTTTCGGCCGACAGTTGGCGCACTGTCGCTGAGTACGTAGACAACAAAACGCAGGTGCCTTCTGCATATTACTGCCTCGCTCCCGAGGAGCTCGCCTGGCTGGCGCAAGCTGGGGTGGACCCGAAGAAGCTGCAGCGCTTCCTCCGGCGGAGCGGGGTTCGCACAGCGGCCAAGGACGGGCGACCGCGTCTGCCCCCCCCCCTCCCCCCAAGCCACGGCTGGTTGTTTGAGTGACGCCGACTGTGCTTCTACACCGATCTTGGCCAGGCCTTCGTGTGCCACGAGTGGCAATTGGGAGAGGAGTTGACTCAGCCAGCACGTGTCTCAAGAGGAGAAGAGCATGCCAACACCGGTGCTCTTCCCTGGTCTTCGTGCTCTTGATCCTCGCAGGGGGCCCGCGTCGCCACGGCTGGATTCTCTCAGGAATCCTGGTCGCAGCGCCTTTTGGAGGTCGGGGGAGCAGCAGGATCGGCATCTGCTTGCTCCCTCAGCTCCACTTCTGTCAAGAGCCTGCGAGAAGAGAACGGGGAGGACGGTGTGGCCTTGGAGGGGGCAGGTGGAGGCGAGAGGGGCGGAAACGCAGCAGCACGGCGGCGTCAGGGCTCGGGGGCTCGGAGGAGCGCCGGGATGACGTCAACGGCCTCTACGACAGCACCAGAGAGGAGCTGGCAGAGGCGGCTGCCCGCAATGTAGCAGGAGCCTCCTCAGGAGCCGAGGAGCTCAGACGGTGGGAGCGGGCAAGGGAGGAGGGAGAGGATGGGGAGGAGAAGAAGGAGGAGGAGGAGGAGGAGCAGGAGGAGGGCGGTTCAGGAGGAGGAGGAGGAGGAGGAGGAGGAGGAGGAGGAGGAGGAGGAGGTGGTGGTGGTGGTGAAGCGATATCGGGCCGTATGTCTTGTCAGAGACCACATAGCTGTGAGCGCGGGCAACATGCAGCCACGTGCGACCTCTGGTGCGCAGGAGTGCGATTTAGCTAAGCCTCCCCCCAGACGAGGGGGAGCCCCAATTTGTCATTGCCCGACCCCAGGATCGAGACGAACACGAATCTCATACCAGAAGCGAGCCACTGAGGCTCGGGGCCGAGGGCCCAACTCAAAATCGGATAGCGTAGGCTACGAGGTCCTTGAAGCAGGGAGAGGACGAGGAAGGACGCCTCAAAGGAGGAAGAGGAGGAGGAGGAGGAGGAGCGGGGAAGACAGCGGCAGCGGCGGCACACGGAGCCTCCTCGGACAGGGGCGTCACGAGCCCCTCCCTCTCATCCGACGCGGAGGCCCGTGCCGTCGGCGCCACTCTCCGCCAACACGTCGGCGGAGTTTCTGTCTCTGGGATCCCGTCGTGGCCGACATCGACGCCGACGTGGTAACCCTCCTCCTGGTCACCTGTGACGCAGTGCTGGTCGTCTGCGCACTCGAACTGGTGCTCTGAAACCCCGAACTGAGTGGTCGCGTAGCCGCTGCCACTAGTGCCCGCACGATGCCCCTCTCATCCTGCAAGCGTCTATCCCTCGGAGCCCTCGACATGATGCCCGCATCATCCTGCCCATGAGCCACATTTGATCCGCAAAACTGCGACGACGAACCAGGGCGGCTATCTCCTGGATTTTGCGACCTAACGCCAGCGAGCCCCCCTCCCGTCCCTACACCAGGGTAGCGCTCAGAAGAGCTCGGAGCCTCATCATCGCTGAGTCCTCTCGCTCGGAGGGACGGGAAGCTGGCAACCTTCTCATCATCGCTACGGTCGGGGGCACTCGCGCGTCCACAAAACTGCGACGGAACCAGGGCAGCCATCTCCTGGATTTGCATTCTAACGCCCGATTTCACAGCTCGAGATCGTCCAGCGCCTGCTGGAGCAGCCTCTCGGAGTGCGACCGCGGAGCCATGCCAGGTCGAACTTCCCCTCCCAGCTGTACTGCGCACTCCTGGAACGCCTTCTGCATGCTGGGATCCGACAGACTGAAGACCATCTTCGCCAGCCCGTTCTTGTACGCGCTGCTGACGCGAAACCCTTGATGAGCATCGTCAGGTCCGTGATCGAGTTCGTCTCGTCGAGTCGCTTCTGGTGATCGACCCACTCCTTGGCGTTGTGGACTCCGACCTTCTCGCCCGCTTCGGACACGCGGCGGGCCGCCACCAGAAAGATCTGCACGCGCGCTGGACCCATCGTCACCTCTGGCAAGGGCTTGCTCGGGTCGCGCTGCCTCTCGTCCCTCAACCTCGCCGCCTCCGGCGCGTACGCCCGCCCCGCCTGGAAGCCCGACTTGATCAGGTCCGTCTCTTCGTCCATCGTGCCCGTCGCGAACTCAGCCGCCAGCAGCATCCGAATGTTGAAGGAATTGCCGAGGACAGCTCTCATGAGCACAGGGAACAGCTCCGCGCGCATCTGCAGGTCCATGCTCGGCAGCTTGGACAACGCGTCGGCTGGCAGGCCGTGCGACCGCCCGATCTCCATCCTCTCGTCCCGCTGCCTTGCTGGCGCCGCAGCCGCTGCCTGGCCGCGTGGAGCCTGCGCGGGCTGCTGGTGCTGGCGTCGCTCGCCGCCTGCTGGAGCCTGGCTGCGCTGCCCTTGCCGCCTGTGACCACCGCGCATGCGGGAAGCGGCTGCCGAGCCAGATCGGCCCCTTCTCGATCCTGGTCCCTCACCTCCGTGCGACCTCGAACGATGGGCGGCCGCCTCGAGCGCCTCGACTCCCGGGCGGTACATCAGGCCCAAGACAAGTGAGGGGAACTCGAGGAGAGTGCCGACGCAGGTGGCGATTAAGAGCAGCCCGATGTTCAAACGGCTCCGTACAGTTAAAGCACGTCCCATGGTCTCCTATAGTGTTGCCTCCGAAGATAGTCGCGCGAGTGAGGCCAGCCAGTGGGCACCGCAGGTCCACGGAGTCCAGGGCGGGATGCTAGACCGGGGTGACGTATGGGGGACGCCTGCCTCTCAGGACCGCCTACTTCGCATGCTCCTGAGCAATGCGCCGTGTACGAAAGCTCTGCCCACAAATTATCCCGGCAAAGCAACCTAACAGCGCTGTGTAGGAGCATATTTGGAAGCATTTCCCTTAACATTCAGATGATAATCCAGTTGTAGAAGTCTGCTCTTCTCGCAGTCGTAGTCGCATTCGCGATGACAGTCGCCGTGGCAACGGCAGTCGCAGTCACAGCCTCAGCCTCAGCCTGCCTCAGCCTCAGCCTCAGCCTGCCTCAGCCTCAGCCTCAGCCTGCCTCAGCCTCAGCCTCGGCCTGCTTCAGCCTCAGCCTCAGTCTGCCTTCAGCCTCGGCCTCAGCCTCAGCCTGCCTCAGCCTCACCCTGCATCAGCCTCAGCCTCAGCCTCAGCCTCAGCCTCAGCCTCAGCCTGCCTCAGCCTCAGCCTCAGCCTGCCTTCAGCCTCAGCCTCAGTTTGCCGTCGACCTCAGCCTCAGCCTGCCTCAGCCTCAGCCTGCAGCCAGCCTCAGCCTCAGCCTCAGCCTCAGCCTCAGCCTGCCTCAGCCTCAGCCTCAGCCTCAGCCTCAGCCTCAGCCTGCCTCAGCCTCAGCCTCAGCCTCAGCCTCAGCCTCAGCCTCAGCCTGCCTCAGCCTCAGCCTCAGCCTCAGCCTGCAGCCTCAGCCTCAGTCTGCCTTCAGCCTCGGCCTCAGCCTCAGCCTGCCTCAGCCTCAGCCTGCATCAGCCTCAGCCTCAGCCTCAGCCTGCCTCAGCATCAGCCTGCCTCAGCCTCAGCCTCAGCCTGCCTCAGCCTCAGCCTCAGCCTGCTTCAGCCTCAGCCTCAGTCTGCCTTCAGCCTCGGCCTCAGCCTGCCTCAGCCTCAGCCTGCATCAGCCTCAGCCTCAGCCTCAGCCTGCCTCAGCATCAGCCTGCCTCAGCCTCAGCCTCAGCCTGCCTCAGCCTCAGCCTCAGCCTGCTTCAGCCTCAGCCTCAGTCTGCCTTCAGCCTCGGCCTCAGCCTCAGCCTGCCTCAGCCTCAGCCTGCATCAGCCTCAGCCTCAGCCTCAGCCTGCCTCAGCATCAGCCTGCCTCAGCCTCAGCCTCAGCCTGCCTCAGCCTCAGCCTCAGCCTGCTTCAGCCTCAGCCTCAGTCTGCCTTCAGCCTCGGCCTCAGCCTCAGCCTGCCTCAGCCTCAGCCTGCCTCAGCCTCAGCATCAGCCTGCCTCAGCATTCAAAATGTGGCCCGGGAATGGAGTTCTGGGAACTCGAAGAACACGAAGTGGCCTACAGTTGGCTCCGGGCATTCAAAATCATGCCCAGGAATGGAGTTCTGGGACCTCGAAGACCACGAAGTGGCCTACAGTTGGCTCCGGGCATTCAAAATGTGGGCCGGGAATGGAGTTCTGGGATTTCGATGAGCACGAAATGGCCTACAGTTGGCTCCGGGCATTCAAAATGTGGCCCGGGAATGGAGTTTTGGGAACTCGAAGAGCACGAAGTGGCCTACAGTTGGCTCTGGGCATTCACAATGTGGCCCGGGAATGGAGTTCTGGGACCTCGAAGACCACGAAGTGTGTAACTGTTTGCTTCAAACGACTTCAGCGGATTCTCCCCGGCACCCGTCCGGCATCTGCCCAGACCCCCATGAGGAGTCAAGATGCTTTCTTTTGAGACCATTAGAAACCTATCAGTCTTCGCTGTTAGGTAAAAATACACTCGTTGGTCGCGATGAGGGTGTGCACTGCGGACCTGCAGGAATGCCCGCCACCACTAGAGAACCGTTGATGGGCAAGAAGGGCATGCCTAGTCGTGCAGATCCCCCCGCAGACCGCCCCCTCCGAGTTTGGCAGGTCGCGCTGCCAGATCGACGTCGGCGGTGGGGGCACCTCCAGATCACCTTCAGGGGCCTCGTGAGGAACAAGGGGGGACCATGCAGACCTATAGGAGGAGGGATGGCCGCCGTCAACGTAGCAGCCCTCAAGATACCAGGATCCAAAGCCAGAACTTGCTCCCGAAGGTCATGATCCGTAAATAGGTCTCGTACACACAGCCTCATATGGGGCTCCTCTGAGGTACCTATGAGCAGCCATGACTCGAGTAGCTCAGCCTCAGCCTTCTGGGCGAGAACCAGGACGTCGGACGCGAAGCGCTTGGCATAGGGGTTCGCACGCTCGCGCAACAAGCCCTGCTCACACAACGTGGGATGAACGTCTAGCGGCAGTTGTCCGAAGAGGGATCCGATCTCCTGAGGGGGCCGATCAGGGTGCCGGATCCATCGCTGATACTGTCTGAGCCTGCGCACGCGTAATTCCGACTCGACGAGAGACCACGACGTCCGACTGAGCTCGATAGCGAACGACTGCCTTGCCCCGCTCATCCAGAACCTCCTTGCCCTCCTCATCCTTCTCCTCCACCTTGTCCCCCGAGGATCTTGCGGGCGAACCCTATGAGGACCTTATCTAGCCGCATCTCCTGGGCCTTCGATAGCACCAGCGCCGTAAGGCTTGGCAGAAGAGCTCCCTGGGCGACGGCCCCGAAGACTGTGCGAGTCAACTCCCGCGCGCGATTTTGTACCAGAAGCGCCCCACGGAGCAGCATCCCCGTCTGCGTGCCAGGGTCCGCCTCTGAAGCCCCCCCCCTCAGTGCTCGGGCGGCTCACGCCAGTCCCCACACGACTGGCCGTACTCACGCCATGAAATGTTCCAGCATCTTCGACGCGTCTCTCTCCAGGGCTCCACGAGGCGCTGGCCCGTGCTTCCTCTGGCCCACTTTGCTGAAGCACGCAATCAAAGCCGACTCCAGCTCGCCATAGAACGCGCCCCAATTCACGATACCCATGTCGAGCGCCGCCGTTTGGGTGCCCAACGCAATACTGTCAAACTGCGCTTGCCCAGGGAGACGAACGTACCCTCCGAGCACAGCAGCACTCCGACCCTTCGCCCCTGGACCGACGACCGATGGAGACGCGCAGCCTTTCCCAGCACTGTGGGAAGATCCATCCGTCGAGAGCGATGCGCTCAAGTGCACGTGCGCCTGTTCCGAGGTGTGCTGCGCATTCCTGGCTGACGTGGCCACGTGCGTCTTGTGGGTGTCGTCGGCGTGGATCCTTCGCGACAAGTCCACGGGCCGCTGCGGCATCGGGGCCCACGCCGTGCAGACGGCCTCGCTGGACCACAGGATCCAGTCAGGGTCGGCTGGGGGAGACGGCGGCACCAGCTCCTGCTCCAACCACTCCGTGTAGGTCGACGGCCGAGGTGGAGGCCGCCTGCGCCAGGTCTGCGAGCGCATCGAGTCCGCCCACTGCTGCGCCAGCCGACGAAAGGTCCGAGCGAAGAACACCGCAGCAGGGCTGTCGCCCATGGAGGTACCGCACAAGTTATGCATCGTCTGCTCGCCGTCCGCACCCCGAATCGTGAACGTGCTCGTCTCGTGCCGCTGCTGGAAGTAGCATTGCGAGTCCTCTCTGATCGCCTCCTCCACCGTGCAACGCAGCGCCCCAAAGGTAGGGCACCCGAATGCATTCGCCATGTCCTCCTTAGGCGTGACGATCGAAACGCCCAGCTCGCGGAGGCGGTCGAGCTACACCTCCTGACAGATGAGCGCCCCCTCCCGACTTCGACTCACATGATATCCATGCTCGCGATCAGGCGTGTCATCAGGGGTGCCTCGCTGCAGCTGGGCCTTGTGCCACAGCGCGCCCATCCAACGCAATCCATGAATGTGACGTCCCGCCGCGAAACCTTCCTTACTGTTGTGCTTGTCCAGACCAGTCGATCGAGAGTGACGCCGCACGATGGGCGTCCGCTGCACACGCCGTATGTGATGACATACTTTCTGCAGCGCCTTCAGACTGAGCTCTTTCGATATCGTGACCGCTCCCGTGCCCAGACCGCGCCTATCGCCTGCCCCACGGTGTCGAGGAGCGTATTCAACCTGCGGCCTGCAAGCGGATCCATCAGCTTCGCCGTCGTCTCTGTCATCATCCTGCTTCTTCCGACGTGGTTTGCGGTGCGAACCATCGAGTCGCCTCGAGGGGCCCAGCGCCATCATGATCAGCTCGGACGGGATGGAATGGAGCGGTGCCGCCCTTCGCCGTGGAGCTTTCGCCGCAAGCTCCGTCACTGCCTCCATGTCGCCCCGCCCTAGCTCGACATGGCGGAAGTTGTCGTTGCCGAACGTAGCGGGCCGAGGGGGGCCTTGGAGCAGCCGAGTCTGGTAGTCGCTGAAGTCGACAGGCACGGCCAAGTGGTCCCCGATCTCCTCCACCCTCGGGACGTAGGTCTCCGCGACATTGAACCGACGCCGCCGAGGGCCACTGCGCCGCCCGGCCAGCTCATGAGCCAGGCGCCACACCTCCGCATGCCTGCGGCCATCCCGCGCTTGCTGTGCGACGGCTTCCTCATGGCGCCCTCGACGTAGATGCTTGAGCCGCCTACTGCATCTGGCCAACTGCATGCTAGAATCCAGGTCGCCCACGCCGCGTTCGCGAGCATCGCGCCGTTCCCGTAGAAGACGACTCCGCTCATTCTGGAAGGCAACCAGGAGGGGATCCTCTACCTTGTCCTTCGAGAAATGCCTCTCAGCCGTCGCATACACAAGGATCACGCACTTTTCCCAACCGATGTCGGGCGCCGTCTCATGCAGAAGAAGTTAATGGAAGTCAGGAGCCTCGGCGAACTGCGCCTCCAAGTCCTCCATGAACTCAGCCACTCCTGTACCATGCCTCAATGCACTCGCTAGTCTGTCGAAGTCCCAGCGCACCCCCTCAGCCCGACTGGAGCTCAAGTCGAAATCGTACCTCATTTTGACCGGAATCGGCACATGATCCGACAGCCCCCTTCGACCTCCGAGCTGCAGCCTGAGATTCGCCCGTCTGAGCGCACCGCAGAACTCGATATCCTTCATCTGCCAGTCGAACACTGCGACGTAGTCAATATAGCTCGATGAGGTGGCCCCGAGAAAAGTGTCGCCGATGTTGTAGCTGGTCGACGCGATGGCCACTGCGTGCTTCTCGCACACTTCCAGCATCTGATCGGCCGCGTAGTGCTGCTCGTGTTGGGCGGAGGGGACAAGCGAACGTGACCGCACCCAATCCACGATGTGTCCCTGTCGAACCCTCCATCCGAACGAGTCGTTCAGGTCAAAACCCAGGAACAGGGCAGAGCGCTTCTGAGACCACGTCAGCACCTTCTCGAGCCACTGGGTGAGAATATCCACTGTCGCTCGATACTTCGCCTGCGCCGTGGATGCGTGCACATGCGACTCTTCGCCATCTCGCCGAGAGCTGGGCCGAGGAGGGAAGTACATCACGGGGATCAGCACATCGAATCTGCCCGATCGAAGCCGAAACACGGCCGCGCGGCCCTGAAGCGATGCAGGGACCGCAGGAACGTCGTATACATCACGCTGCTTGAAGACCCGCTTCCTCAGCAATAGAGCAACCCCACATGATTTGTTAACATGCTTGCCAGGCTGGTATCCGCACCTGGCCACGAAGTGAAACTTCAAGTTCGAGAAGATGGGCGCACGATCTGGTGCCGCACGCTCTCCAGTGCTTGTGACCGCTACGATGTCCGTATATCTGAATTCCTCTGATATGTCGTGCAGCCGATCCACAGCAGCATGCTGCGCGTTCCAGTGGATGAACGTGAACATGGCCCCCACAACGCACAGCAGCACACGAGAAAGAAACTCTGACCTGTATGTGCGCACAGTGTGCTAGATGCGGGGAGCCTGCGGGGGGGGGGCTGCCGCAGCGTGTAGAGCCGGAGGAGGGCGGTGGAGGAGGACAACGCTGTGCACAGCTCCTCGCCCAGACTGCCTCGGCCAGATGCCTCGCCGGCGGACCGCTCCGCCGACGGACCGCCTCGCCGGCGGACCGCTTCGCCAGCGCGCCCCGCCGTTCGTCGCTCGCCGCTGCTTGCTCGACGCCGTCGCCGTTGGTGCGCGCCGCCGGCCGAGGCGCTGGAGGAGCTGCTGGGGAGGCGCCCCCCGCACCTGCACCGGTGGGACAAGGAACGGCTCGTGAAGGCGCTCGAGGCGCTGGGCGAGACGGGCTCGTCCGGCTCGGGGAGCCAGCGGGGCACGCCGGGTCTGCCGCCCACCCTCGGCTGGCCTCTGCGCTCCTCCTCCTCTTCCTCCTCCTGCTCCTGCTCCTGCTCCTCCTGCTCCCGCTCTTCCTTCTCGTCGCCCTCCCCCTCCTCCTCCCCCTCCTCCTCCTCCTCCTCCTCCTCCTCCTCCTTTCTTGGGCCCCCGTCGCTCCCCTCGCCCCCCTCGCCTCGTACCTTGGTGTCCCTCTGTCGCTAGGGTGTGAGAGAGTGTGGCAGCAAGGGCTCGTGCGGAAGCGCAGTTCTTCGGAGGTCTCCTCGCCACATCTCCCCCGTTGGTTGGGCACACACCCCACCATTGCCAATGCTTGATGCCTCGCGTATCTCTAGGTGAATCCAGTTGAACATGCAGGTGAGTCTTCCGTCAAGCCCCAGCTTGGAATCAGTTTGACTTACCCCATTCAGGGCGTAAGCAATATACAGAATGGGCGTGGGGAGGGGGATGGGACGGGGCCCAGGGTGGGGGTCCTAGCGCTGCAGCCACGCCTCGCTTTAAGACGGGGGCAGCGCGTGCGCGCGCGAGTGCGTGCGCGTCCGCGTGCGCGTGCGTTCTTGCGAGGCGCATCTGGTCGTGGCGGCGAGAACCCCAGGAGGCCCAGAAGTGGCACGCACAAATCAACACGCTCTTGGAAGGCCGCCGCTGCCTCGACAGGGGCCTCCTCCGAGGCGGGGCGTGCGCGCTCTTCTGTCGGAGGCCTAACGGTTGACACCAGCACCAACATCAGCGGTGTGCCCCCACCGAGGGAAGATGCTTCTGATCTCGGTGATGTCGATCGTCGGGCTTGCTGGGCCGCCGGCCCCGTGTGCAGGTGTTGGTGCCCACTTCCCGGGTCGGACGACGCGGGGGGACTGGGAGGGGGGGGGGGGGCACGGAATTTGTTGCATGCAGCCGGTCTCGGCCCCGCCGCCAGCCGTCTTTCCTCGATACACGGGTGCCTCCCAGCGCCGTGGAGGCGCCGGGGAGATCAGCTGCGTGAGCTGATTCGCCCCTCCTGTCGACCGGCCCGGATTCCCAAGCCCCCACATTCTGGTTCCCCCTCACTGGGCGCCTGCGCACGGGAGCATCGGCGCCCCCGGATACGCGTATTGCTCCCCCGTGGATTCGCCCCCATCGTTACCCCCGAGAGCACCAAGCATAATACAGGCCCTAACCCCAGTAGCACCATGAGCTCCTGGCCTGGCTTAGGTCCGCGGTCTTCAAAGAGATCCCTAAGCATATGGGTGGTGTCGTCTGATCTGCAGCAAAAACACCCAATCCCTCATGTTTTTGGCCGTCCTAACTTAGGTCGCCTCCCAAAGGATCAGGGGTACTCTTGTTGCTTATCACGAGGCTGGGCGCTCCTCCTTGTGCGCCTGCGCTCAGGAGCGTCGGCGCCCCTGGATGCACGTGTTGCTCCCCGCGGCCCGGCCCGTCCAGGTCCAGGGGTAGGGGGCAGGGGGAGGGGTCAAGCTACCCACCCACCCGCAACTCGTCTTCCTCACTCCCACCCGCCCTCCCAACACATAAGGAATACGCGGGTGTTAGCATCTCGCGTAAGAGCGCCGCAGAAGCCACGGGTTCAAGATGCACCAGATACCCTGGAGGCCCAAGCGTGCCAGGCGCGCCAGGTGCGGCACGTGCTCCACGTGCGCCCAGTGTTCCGCGTGCTCCAGCAGCGCCAGGTGCGCCAGCCACTGGGAACCAATAGAGGCTCCACCTTCGTGCGCCGCAATTGTTGCTAAGCCAGCAATTGCGCACACTCCAGCCCATGCTTGGTGGCTGCTGGCCACCGCGCGCGGCCCCCCCCATCCGCGCATGAGAAAGAACATTCGAGAAGGCGCGTGGCAAGGCACGACGAACAACTGGTGTGCACCGAGCCATCCCTGTCGAAACGCAATGCAAAGTGCACGCCAGGGCATTCACACTCCCGCCGTGCCGGTTGTAGGTTCATCTGTGATAGGGAAGCTCCGCGGCTGCGCGTCGCGCGCGGCCAGGCGAGGCGCCCATGGCAGAGGTTTTGGGGATCGGGGCGCTTCTTGGCACTACAGGCGCTGAAGCAGCTTCGCCGGGAACCAAGGTTCCGAAAGCCCATCGGAAACGAAAAGGCGAGAAGGCAGCAGCCATTGATTTGTCAAGCCAGTCAGTCGACCATCTGCGCCCAGAAGGCAGGTGGGATCTGCTGGCCCAGCCGTCCCTGCAAGATATCAATACAATGTGGTCGCGGGGCGGCCGCGCATGCTCCAAAATTTGGAGGCAGAGTGCGTTTTGTATGTTTTTTTTGTCAGGGATGGTTGGGGGGGGGATCATGGGGTGTCCTCATTGTTCCCGGTTGGCGGCCAGCCGGGTGGGGGAGGGGGTGTATATTAATAGGGAACAGTGATAATCCCTCCCCGAAGGGGAGGCAGGGGGTTGGAAACTCAAGTGGAAACGCACTAAACAACTCACGCCCCAAAGGGCGCTCTTCTGCAGGAGGCCTAGAGGGTAAAACATCTGCAAGATATGCAGTACCAGGGGCGGGCTGCTTTTCAACCTTGAGAGTCGGGGACGACTTCGGGGTGGTGTGGTGTATACTTGTTTCCCCGTTTTTCCTTGGAAGCAACGAACAAAATATACACCAGCATCCCGTATACACCAGGGTTCGCTTTCGTGTGCGAATTTATAGGGCGGGACAGGAAAAAGCCTCAGTGTATAGAGTTCGGTTCCACAGTTGATTGACACCAGCACTAATACCGGCGGTGTGCCTCCACCGAGGGAGAATTATTTCGATCTCGGTGATGTTTTTGGCCGTCCTAGCTTAGGTCCCCTCCCAAAATATCAAGGGTATTTTCATTGCTTATCACGAGCCCAGTCCGTCTAGGTCCAGGGGTTGGGGGTAGGGGTGAACCACTCCCAGAAGGGGAACAAGGGGGTTGGAAGAGGAAAGGCCCTAAACCACTCACGTCCTGATGGGCTGGTGGGATTCGCCCCCATCGTTTAAGTAGATATCTTGGGAGTCCCAGGTCCCAATCTACTTCAAACGCCTTCCTGATCCAAGAATAGGTATGTTATTTGTATGCTTTTGCGGTCTTTTGCCGTTCCGTGGGCGGGCCCGAGCCCAATCTACTCTATCCGCCTTCCTACTTCATGTTTCCACCTACCTCTTCTGACTGGCGTTAAGTCTGGTCTGTCCTTCTACAGGAGGAATATTCAAAAGTAGTCGAACAAATCAGGGGGACGATTTTTTGTCTATCTTTGTCATTTGGGGGGTATTTCTATTTTTTTTTTTTTTTTTTTGCATTTCTCGCCCGAAATTCCCCCGCAGGGGGGACATGCCCGACCTCAGACTGGCCTGGCGGACATTGCTCTCCCACCGTTGCCCCCGAGACCGGCCCCCCTCCGGGGGCGGGGCGGGTGCGCTCTTCTGGCTCCCCCTCATGGGGCGCTTGCGCGTGGCAGCTGGCGGCGCCGCGGGCGCCGGCGCGCAGCGCTCGGGGCCGGCCTCGAAGCGGGCCCGCCGCGGCGCCCGCAGGAGCCCTGGGGCTCTTGAGGGCTGCCCCTGGCGACGACGACGGCGCCTGGCGACGGCGACGGCGACGACGTCCAGCGTCGGCGAGCGACGACGACTCGGACGGGGCCACGACGAGGATAGGCGGAGTTGCCTATACCGATGCCCGATACCTCCTTTCCGAGAAGGAAAGAGTACCCTTCCTTCGTTTTCCCTTTCTTTTTGGGCCTCCTGGGAGGCCCTCGTCGCCACCGCTGGATTCGCTCCGAAATCCTGATCACATCGCACCCTGGGAGAGGTCTGGGGAGTAGCAGTACTAGCCGGCCGCCGCTCTGAGGTTGGGTTCGTGTTATTTCTCTCACGCTGCCGACTCCTCAGTCAGGCCTCCTCCCAAACTCGTTTCCTCCTACTTAGATTCGTCCATACTCAGATTCCTTCGCACTCATACTATTCAGAGTTGTTCACATTCAGACTCACTCATACTCATATTCTCTCGGATTCACTCATGCCAACACTCTGTCGCAGTCATTCGATCATATTCAGAATATTCGGAAGATGGCTCAGGTGGGGTGTTGGTTTCAGCACCCCTCAGGGGAGCCGCCAGAGGGGTATTGCACGGCCTCTCAGGCGGTTTGCCTGTTGCGGTGCCCAACATCGTTTGTGTTGACAGCAGTTTGTGAAGTGTCACAGGCGGGGCGCAGCCCGTTTCAGCCTCACCTGAGGGGTTTTGCACGGGCCCGTTCGCGGCCAGTTTGTGGGGATGAGGCGGTTTGCCAGTTTCGGTGGCCAACACCGTCTGCGTATAGACCAGATTGAGTAAGGATGTCTCAGGCGGGGCGCTGGTTTCAGCACCTGGGGAGCCGCCAGGGGGTATTGCATGGGCCCGTCCGTGGCCAGTTTGCGGGGATGTCTCAGGCGGTTTGCCTGTTTCGGTGACCAACATCGTCTGCGTATAGACCAGATTGTGATGATGTCTCAGGCGGGGCGCTGGTTTCAGCACCCCTAAGGGGAGCCGCCAGAGGGTATTGCACGGTCCCGTTCGCGGCCAGTTTGTGGGCATGTCTTAGGCGGTTCGCTTGTTTCTGTGGCCAATATCGTCTGCGTATAGACCAGATTGTGAGGATGTCTCAGGTGGGGCGCTGGTTTCAGCACCCTTAAGGGGAGCCGCCAGAGGGTGTTTTCACGGGCCCGTTCGCGGCCATTTTGTGGGGATGTCTCAGGTGGTTTGCCTGTTTCTGTGCTCAACATCGTCCGCGTTGGTAGCAGTTTGTGAAGATGTCTCAGGCGGGGCGCTGGTTTCAGCACCCCTACGGGGAACCGCCTGGGGTGTTTTCATGGACCCGTTCGCGGCCAGTTTGTGGAGATGTCTCAGGCGGTTTGCCTGTTTCTGTGGCCAGCGTCGTCTGCGCTTAGACCAGATGGTGAGGATGTCTCAGGCGGGGCGCTGGTTTCAGCACCCTTAAGGGGAGCCGCCAGGGGGTATTGCACGGGCCCGTTCGCGGCCAGTTTGTCGGGATGTCTCAGGCGGTTCGCTTGTTTGGTGGCTCAACATCCTTTGCTTTCAGAGCAGATCTGGAGCATGTCTCAGGCGGGGCGCTGGTTTCAGCACCCTTAAGGGCGCTGGTTTCCTTCTCTCTCCTCTCGCTCCTCCGCTCCCTCTCTTGTGCGCTTCCTCCATGCACTTCTGTCGCGTCCTCGCTCGGGCCTCTGGGGGCCGAGTCGGCCTCTGGGGGGGTTGGCCTCAGGGGGCAGATCCAGTGATCCACAGGACGGCAGGGCGTTCTTGGTTGAAGGCCGTCTTTGTTACACCCCAGGTGGGTGAGTGGAGAAATGGTTGACGACGCAACATGTGCTTCTGCGGCTGTGCAGGCTTGTGCAGGCTGGGGGATCGTTATCCGGGGCGGATCTGGTGATCCGCAGGAGGGCTCTCTCGGTTGGAGGCCATCCCCATCCATCATATTTCTGAGCAGGGTCGAAGACCGCCACTGTTCGTCATCCTGTGTGTGAGTGGAGCAACGACTAATGACGCAGAGTGCCTTTCTGCGACATTGGAGACTCGTGCAGGCTGGAGGGATCGGCATGCATGGCAGATCTGGTGGTCCGCAGAAGGACAGGGCGTTCTAGGTTGAAGGCCATCCTCATCCATTATCCCTGTGAGTGGGGGCGTTGCCCGTCATTGTGCCCCATCCCGTGAGTGAGTGAGGGAAGGGCTGATGACGCAGGATCCTCCTCTGCGCCAGTGGGAGGCCGTGCGAGATGGAAGAACCCTTGTGCTGAAGGGGACCGGGTGATCCGAGTATTGGCAGGGCATTCAGGGTTGAAGACTGTCCTCACCCATCACTTGTGTGAGTGGACGAGCGCTGGCGGGACGCGAGTACAGAGACCAGATTGGCGCAGATAGGGTGCAGGGATCGGCCCTCTTGCACCTGCTCCTGCGACCTTCTGCCAGCTTGACCCTGGCTGCCTGTAGCCATCACGGCTCGTGCTACGGCGCGTGCCCGGTGGGACGTACGGAGGAGAGAGGAGGAGGAGGGGGAGGAGGAGGATGCGTGCTGCTCCTTTGGGTCGTGCTTTGGCATGTACCCTCTGGGACGTACGGAGGAAGGAGATGAGGCGTGCTGCTCCCCTGGGTCGTGCTCAGGCACGTACCCTCTGGGGATGAGGGAGACTGCGTGCTGCTCCTTTGGGTCGTGCTCAGGCACGTGCCCTCTGGGACGCACGGAGGAAAAAACAGGAATCGGAGCAGGACCAGGAACACCTTTTCTGTCCATTGAAGTTAAAAACCGGGGAAACGCTGTTTTTTTATTTTTTTTTTGGGGGGGTCGGGTTTCTTCAAAATTCGCGCCGACGTGCGAGCGGAAAATATGCCCGACGCCAAGTGCGGGCGACCAAAGCCGAGGCGCAAACCGCGAGGGTGCCGTTTGGTAGCACTTGCCTTCTGCACGCCATGTGTCTACGGCTTCTGTTTGCGTTGCCAGATGCGAAGTGCGGACGGTTAGCTCAAGTTGAAAAGCTTTTCCGAGGTGCCGTTTGAAGCATTTGTCTTTCGTGCTCATCCCTGGTTCTTCGGACGCGGTACCAGTGGAATTCTTTGCCTTGGCAGCAAATGCGCTAAAATATGCATGTGGATCAATGTGCATATGTGTTGAATGCACAGCCGAGCTGCGCGCGCTTGTGCTCGTCGCTCACATGGACGTGCTCTCATATCAATACTATCATAGACACATACTCACCGTGGCACGATCCTGCGACATGAGATGCACGTATAGCTCATATGTCCATACGCTCATGCACACATCGCAAATACAAATTATCATTTAGAGGTATCCACATATGGGGAACTCCACGCAGTGAGTAATTTCAATGCGGGGTCTCCGGAAGTCTCGACCCATTCCCCAGGACTGGTTTTTTCATCCTGAGTCGTTTTTTGACGGTTCGGAGGCCCGGTGCGGGCCCCCAGAGGCCGAAAATTGTGAAAAACCGCCGTCGCGATTCCTTTCAAATGCGTTGGATCTCTTGGTGTATAGACGAAAGGGCGTGCGCTGGTGGGCAAGGGGGGAAAAGCCCCGGACGGGGGCGCGCTTGGTGCGATCCCTGGAAAAAAGGTCCCCAGGGGGCGCGGTGGGGCCCGATTGTCTTGCGCGCCAGGGGTCGACTTTGCGAAAGTGTTTCGAGCGACGGCTCCGGACTGGGACCCGCTGGGTGCGATCCCGGGAAATGGTCCCTGAGGGCGCGGAGCGGCCTGACTTTCTCGCGCGCCAGGGGTTAGGATGACGTGAGCTACACATAAACTCGCTCAAAATATGATGGTGCTGATTAGTGACGATGGCGATGATGATGATGATGATGATGATGATGATGATGATGATGATGATGATGATGATGATGATGATGATGAGCGTGGATCAGATAAGGATGACGGTGATGACGACGACGACGCTGATGCTGATGATGCTGATGCCGATGATCATGAAGATGGTGGTGCTGATGATGAGGAGTATGATGGGGAGGATGCGTATTACGACGACGATGGCGATGACAGCGGTTAGTTTGATGTTGGTGATATTGATTTTGATGGTCATGATCGTGATGCTGCTGATGATGGTAGTGGGGAGGGGGGATAATATGATGATGAACGTGCTGATGCTGCAACTGATCGTGATGATAATTACGATGATTTTACGACGACGTGACGACGACGAAGTTAATGATACTGAATATGATGCCGATGCCGACGACCATGATGTTGACCATAGTGATGATGATATGACGATTGATGACGATGATGACGATGGCGATGAGGATTATGATGCTGATTATGATGATGCAGTTGATGGTTTTTCTGATGCTCTTGTTGTTGATGATTCAGATGGTGATGTGGACTGTGATTATGATGATGGTGGTGATGCTGATGAGGATGGTGATGATCATGATAGTGAGGAGGAGGAGGAGGAGCAGGACGACGAGGACGAGTACGATGGCGGGTCGGTGTAGGAAAGGGAGGACGAGGGGGAATGAATTGAGGAAGGTGATGAAGATGCAGGTGATGACGCTGCTAATGATGATGCGAATGATGCTGCTGATACGGTTGTTCATGTGATGATGAGTATGATGATGGTGATGGTGATGAGGATGCTGGTGCTGATGGTGATGATGAGGACGACGATGATGAGGACGATGAGGGTGATGGTGATGGGCTGATGCTGATGCTGCTGATGATGCTGGCGATGATTGTGCTGCTGATGATGGTGGTGATGATTGTGCTATTGCTGATTATGATTGTGATGGTGATGGTGGGTTGGGAAGAAGTGATGATGGGGATGAGTTAGGGTGATGGTGATGGTGACGGTGATGGCGATGAGGATGATGATGGTGATGGTGATGCTGAAGATGATGATGATGATGATGATGGTGGTGGTGGTGGTGATGATGATGATGATGATGATGATGATGATGATGATGATGATGATGATGATGTTGATGATGATGGTGATGATGATGATGATGATGATGATGATGGTGGTGGTGGTGGTGGTGGTGATGATGATGATGATGCTGAGGAGGAGGAGGAGGAGGAGGAGGAGGAGGAGGAGGAAGAAGAAGGAGAAGACGAAAACGAAGACGACGATGAGGGCGATGACGACGAAAACGAAGATCTTGGGGTCCTCTTGGGTTTTTTTTGGGGGTCCTGTTGGAGCCCTCGTGGAACTTTCCGAGGTCCTCTTGGGGCTGTTTTGAAGTGTCTTGGGGCCCTTTTGGGGCCCTCGTGAAACTTTCCGAGGTCCTCATGGGGCTGTTTTGAGGTGTCTTGGGGCCCTTTTGGGGCCTTTTTGGATACTCTTGGGGGCGTTTTCGGGAGCCCTGGGGGACCCCTTTGGGCCATCCCGTAGGGCGTCGATCAGAACAGGGAGGGTCGCAGATTCGCCTTCCCCCTTTGGAACTCTCATAAGCGTCTGGCGCTCCTGGGGCGATCTTGGGCGCTCTTGGGGCCATCTTGGGGCCATCTTGGGGGCCTCTTTGGCCCCTCTTTGGCCCCTCTTTGGGCTTTCTTGGGCCAGCTTGGGGCCATATTGGGGCCTCAGAAGCCCATCGGAAGCGAAAAAGCGAGAAAGCACACATCATTCATATTGCGTTGTTTTTGCAGCATTTTGGCCTCTTGGGAGGGGTCCGTGGGGGGCTCCGAGAGCATGTGGAACCATCTCGTGACTCTTGGGGCTTCTTGGAGGCATGATGGAGGCCATCTTGAAATATCCTCGGCTATTTTGAGCCATCTTGGAGGCCATTTTGGAGCATCGGAGGCCCTCATGGAACCTTCTTGGACCATCTTGGGCGCTCTGACCGCTCCGGCCCCCCGCCGTCTAGACCCCTGAGAGGGGTAGGGGGAGGGGTGACCATCTCCCCGAGGGGGAAGAGGGTTTTGGAAGAGGAAAGAAACAACTCGTTAGGCCACCTTCGCCCTGTGAACCTTGTCGTGCCCACTCGGGCCGCCCGAATGGCGCGGCGTTGACCATCGCTCGTTGGTGCAGCTCTGTGACCCGTTTCGATCATTCGTTTATTCGTTCGCGGCCGCGAACAATGAAGCACGCAGAACGAACAAAACACGTAGCAACACCCGCCGCGGGTCGGGGCCCCAGCCGAGGAGAGATTCGTCGCCCTGGTGGTTGCTCATGCGTTTTCGGCTGTGGACGTATCCCGTTCAGGCTACGTTAGCCCAGCCTGCAAGACCAGCGCACACGTGACTACCCGAGAAGTTATGCTGGGGACGCAGGCACTACACATCCCGTGCATGGCAGCGGGTTGTTGAGGTTCCAAGTCTGTTGCGCACGTCGTTCCCACGTGTTTATTGGGCGATTGCTGCATGAGGAGTTGAACGTGATAGGATATTTGGGCGGCGGGCTCGATAGCGTTACGTCAGCCTTGCACCCAGGCTCGAGCAAGACCGAGGCTCAGTTTCAATCGTATTGCAAGCGAGGCCTTCGAGCTTGTCACACATGCGCGGCTTAGGCCGCCCCCACCTAAGACATAAACACTTGCAGTTTGGTAAGACGGCATTTTTGGAATGACAGGAACGTTCCACAGTCTAGGCACGTGTTTTGCAAACATCTCGATGGCAGGCCGCACAATGGCGAGGCAAGGGCCTCTGGAAGCAGCTGCCCGCTTCGTACCGCCTTCGCTCGCCAGGCGACCTTGCACGGCTGGCGCTGGCGCTAGCTGGGTATGGCATTGCGTTCGCTGCGTTAGGACGTCGCTCTGCCGGGTGGCCCCGGCGAAAGGCTGCACACGCCTCGCACGTCACTGACTGCGCCTAGGGTGCTCTCATCTTCTGCAGCTGGCGTGGACGTATTTCAGAGGGGCCGAAGGCCGTTGCGCTATTTCCATCCATGAGGGCGCGCGGCTCACTCACGTTCAACGCCCGCGGCAGTCAGGATCGAATCCACGTTCATCAGCCCCTCTCCCACTCGAGAGGACTACAGCGAGTCCTCGACGATTCCTCATCCCCCTCCTCTTTGCCCTGGTGGCCTGGGGGGTCGGCTGCGCGATTTGCAGCACCAAGCTGGCGGCATTGGCAGAGGCCGCTAGAGGGCTTTCTTTGGCGCGCTGGTACGTGGTGCCGTGAGTGACATCGGCAGGGCCTGGGAACACCAGTGCTGGTTGCTGACCGAACTCGCTCTCGCCAGTCGGTCGGTGGCGCGGCAGAGGTTGTTCAGGCACTTGAAGATGGCCGCCCTGAGGTGGTCCGGCAGCTCCGCCTCCGCCGCATGCGGGTGCTGGGCTCGGAGGGCTCCGGCAACGAACTCCTCTGGCGTCCATGGCACGCCTGTCTCAGGGCCTCCTGCGGGTCCTCCTCCTCCTTCCCCTCTCGCCTTACCGAGGACCCTGTGCCCTTTGGCGATGCCCTTGCCAGCAAGAGTAACAGCGTGTTTGAAACAGTTCAAGCCAGGACACGTCCTGCCACTAGGGAGGGAGAAAGGGTGGGATTCCGTACCCAATCCAAGGGGTGGAGGCGTTGCCTGATCAATTCTCGCAGCAATGGGAAAGTCGCCTGTGCGCGCGGCACCTAATTAGCTCTCGCAGTGCCCGTCCTCTCTTGCTCCTCCTATTTTCTTTTTTCAATTCAATACCTCGCTGCGGCCTCCGTCCATCGTTCTTCTGGGATCCAGGGCTTAGGTGTTCGATCATAGACCCCTTGTTAAACGCAAGCGTCCAGCTTTCACGCCGACGACCGCGGGAAACCGCCGAAGACCGCCTGAAACTGCCGAAGACCGCCGAAGACCGCCCGAAGACCGCCCGATGACCGCCGAAGACGGCCCAGGAGCGATGGGCAACGAGGGGTACATCGCCGAACACGTAAAACGACTGGCAGCCGTGGAATGTTCAATGTTTCCCGGCGGTGTGCTCTCGCTCCTGCCTCAACGGCACCGTAACGGGTACTTACTAACGGGTACTTTGCAATTTTGCCGAACGTTGCCACTTTAGGGCCTCTTTCTGGCGGTGCAGCGTTGCCCGCATCGGGAAGGGTTGGGTTCGCTGGGTCACTGGCCAAAGTACCCGTTAGTGGAGTCCCCGTTTGTGGGGCGCTGACTGCCCCAGGAGACGCGAGGCGGCCGACGCTGAACCGGACCAGGGCGCGGAGCCCAGGGGCCGGCGCGGCCGGACCCCGAATTCGAATTGGGCGTACGGCGGCGCGGCGGCACAGGACCGTGGGCTTGCGCAGGGAGGCGGGGCGGGGGGCTTGCTCGGGGGGGTGCGTGACTCGAGGGTTGGATGGCGTTTTGGAGGGTGGAGCGTGGCAGCGGTGATCTCTCCGTTGCCGTGGCAGTTCGAGCGGAGAGCTTCAGGGAGGCGGGGCCGGGGGCTTGCTCGGGGTGTTGCACAACTCGGGGGTTGGATGGGGCTTTGGAGGGTGGAGTGAAGTGGTAGTGATGTCTCCGTTGCCGTCACAGTTCGAGCGGAGAGCCGAGCCAACGCAAAGCCCAGCGTTCTCTGAAAAGGGGAGCCCGCTCTTCACGAGATTGGGGTCGCCGTGATCGCTTAGAAACAATCTGGAGGGGGACAAGCACACAGACACAGTGAATCGTCGATCCCTAGGGAACTGCGGGGAGATGTGGGAAGTGGAGGGGAAGACGGAACTCCAGAACATATGGGGGAGTTTGGGGAATCCTGGGATTTTGTGCCTACTCATTTGTGTTTCCCTGGGTCTCTTCGAACGGGGGCTTGTAAAGTGTCGACATGGCCTTCCATCGAAGAAGAAAACGGCATAAACATATACCTTTCGCGCTCCGCGCGGATTTCCTGGATCTGCGCTGGGTCCCCCCTGGCGGCGCCTCCGGCGCCGCCTCTGGCGCGCTCCACGTGCCAGGGAGGAGGGTCCAGCGCAGATCCAAGAAATCCGCGCGGAGCGCCAAAAGTGTACGTTTGTGCCGTTTTTCCTCCCTCTACTTCCAAGGCCCTTGCATCCTCATCGTGTGTCCTTCTGATACGGGTTGACTGTTTGGAGAATCCTGGGGTTTTTGTCTACTCATCCGTCCTTATGATACGTCGGGAGTTCTTTGGGAAATCCTGATGATACGTACTTTGGGGAGTCCTTTGGGACTCCTTCTGATACTTCCTTATGATCGTGCTTCTACTCGTGCGTCGGGCGCCAAGAGCTTGCGAGTCTTTCCGGCGCACTTAGTTTGTCGCGATAATTTGGGGGCATTTGGGGCCATCTTGAACCGAAACGTGGAGAAGGCTACAGCGTTGGCATTGCATCATTTTTCGTTGCTTGTTCCAGAGCCTCCTCTGATTCTAGGCCTCCCAGATGGGGTCTGAGTAGATGGAATCAGAGGATCGCGCAGCATCGCTGATGCATCGGCGATGCGGCTCGATGTGGAGCCTAATGGTCTCCACTCCGCCGTCGCCGATGCATCGCCAACGTCGCCGGTGCATCGCCGATTTATCGGCGATACGGCGGGTGTGGTTGCAGTGCGTCGCCGCGCCCATTTCGGCATACCCGCCACGCGTTTTGTGCTCTTTAGGGTGCTCCATGGGGCGCCCCAGCTGCGAGGTGTCATTACGTGGCGTCGCCATGCCCATGTCGGCAGACGGTTTGTACGTTGCGTGCCCCACATGGAGCCCCAGCTACGGCCCTGGTTGGTGTGGTTGCATGGCGCTGCCGCTCCCGTGCTGGCACACCCCTCACACGTTTCGAGCACCACATGGAATACAAACTATTGCTCCAGTGGATGTGGTTGCCTGGTGTTAAGGTGTCCCAACTACGTCCCCTTGCATGGCGTCGCCGTACTAATCGTGGCGCACCCATCATGCTTTCGTGTGGCCATATGGAGCCCCAAATACAGTCCTAGTAGGTGTGGTTGCATGTCGCTGCCGTGTCCAGTACGGCACACCCCTCACACGTTTCATGACCCATAGCCGTCCCCAACCGTTGCCCCGATAGGTGTGGTTGCATGGTGTCGCCGTGCCCATTTCAGCACGCGCGCCACACGCATCGTGCCCCCACAGAGTGGCCAGGCGTGGTGTTTTCCACTCATCGTTCGTCTCCGCCCAGCACCCATCCTGACCAGGGCCCATCCTGCCACCATGGCTGGAGCATGAATGTGACGACGCTGGAGCAAAGAACAGCCCGGGTTCGGAAAGGGGCCCGCTGCTCCTCAGGTCCTTGCACGGTTGCCCCTCGTTAGCGTTCTTCGGGCCCCCAGCCACTTTGGAGGCAAAGACGTGGCCCCTTATTCAGGGTTCCTTGCGGTTGCGGTAGCCGCTTTTGGCGACTGTTTACGCTTCGCGAATCTCTGCCAGCCCATTCAGAAGCCCTGTCCACGAAAGCTGACGGGAAATGGAAAGCAGAGACGCATATAGTGAAGCAGAGCGGTCAAAGAGAAGAGGGGGAGGAACGTGTTGAGCCATGTTGGAGGCTATTTTGGAGCACCGGAGGCCTTATGGGGCTTTTTGGGGGCGTCTTGGGATTCTTTTGGGGATCTTTTGGGACCTCTTGGCGATCTTTCGGGGTCTTGGGGTCTTCTTGTTGCTCTTTTTGGCGTCTTGGGGCCCTCTTGGGGCCTCTCTCGGGGCCCTCTCGGGGCTCTCTTGGGGCTCTCCTGTGAGCTTCGGAGAGCCTCCTGGGGCCGTCTTGGAGGCCATCGATCAAAAAGGGGGGGTCCCTTATCTAGCCCCCCCCCCTCAGAGCCCTCGAAATCGCCTCTGGGTGCCCTCTTGGGGCGCTCTCCGGGCGATCTTGGGAGCTCTTGGGGCCGTCGTGGGAGCCTCTCGTGCCCCTCTTGGAGCTCTCTTGGACCATCTTGGGGCCATCTTGAGGCATCAAAAGCGCATCGGAAGCGAAGTGGCACTATCGGCTTCCCGTAGATTTTTATAGGATTTTGGCTTCTCGGGAAGGTCCTGAGGGGTCTCCAAAAGCACTTGGATCCGTATTGTGGCCCTCTTGGGGCCCTCTTGGAGACATCCTTCTAGCTATCTTGACTCATGTTGGGTGGCTATCTTGAGCGATCTTGGAGGTCATCTTGGGCTCTCTGGGGCCCTCTTGGAACCATCTTGGGCCAAAAAGGACCCTCTGACACCTCGCGACCCCCCCGTCCAGGTCCAGGGGAGGGGGTAGGCGAAGGGGTCAAGACACCCTCCAGATAGCAAGCCGTCTGGCGCACTCCCACCCGCCCTCCCAACACATAAGTAGCACCCGAGCCTGAGCATGTTCAGCGGTCGTCTTTGGATGGACAGCTACTGGGAACCAACACCGAGTCCACGTGCGCGACGCTGGGGCGAGGTGCGCCACGCATGCCAGGCGCGCCACGCGCGCCAGGCACTCCTGGGGCCCGAGCGTGCTAGGCACGCCTGGTGCGCCATATGCGCCACGTGCCTCCGCGTACGCCGGGTGTGCCGCATGCTCCAGCCGCGCCAGGTGCGCCGCGTTCGGGGTACGTGCAGAGTGTGTCATGTGCGCCTGTGCACGTGACAGCACACATCGGGGAACATGTCGGCCTCCGCCATACTTGTCGAGAACCACTGCCCATCATTGTGTCCGGTGGGCCTGCGCACAGCGGGCCATGCTCCATCACCACCTCCGCCGTACCTGTCAAAAACCATTTGACAATGGTAGCGGGGTGGCTGCGCATGATCCAGATTTAGCCGCGAGGTGCATTTCTGTAGTGTTTTGTCAGGGATGGTAGCCCTGCGCGCAGCAGGCAATATGCTGACACTCCCTCCGTCCCTGTCAAAAAACAATATATCGTGCTCGCGGGCCTCACGAACATGACTCCAGACTTTGCCCCAAAGTGTACTTCGTATTGTTTTGAACAGGGGTGGTGGGGGGGCCGCATCGGGTTGGCTGCGCATGCTCCGAATCTGGAGGCATAGTGCGTTTAGCATTGTTTTTTGAAAGGGATGGTGGGGGAGGTGAGCATGGGTCCTGGTTGGCTGCCTGTCGCCGGTCGCCTGGGGGAGGGGTGTGTATATGAATCGGGGACAGTGATAACCCCTTTCCCGAAGGGGAAGAGGGGCATTTGAAGGAGGGAAGAAAGACATCGTTAGACCGCCTGCGCCCAGAGGGCTGGCGGGATTCGCCTCCAGCGCGTCCCGCCCGTAGCCCGACCGGCGCCTGACCTGCCTCGGCTCGCTTGCGCCCGCTGACTAACAAACAAACATGGTAGCAGCTTGACAGTACGCCGCCCAGGCGGGCAGCGCTCCCGACCTCGCGGGATGCCTGCCTGCTGCCCCTCCTGGCCAGCATCGGACGGGGCCAGGACGAGGATCAAATCAGTTCCAAGCGTTCCGAAACGCTGTCAGAGCGCTCCAGAATTCTCTGGGAAGGCCGCGAGGCCGTGGCGCCCGAGACATCCTCCAGAGCCGCAAGATGCCAGAGCTTCTCGATTTATACTCACGCGAACTTATCCTCGTCCTGGCTTCGCTTGCACTCGCACGGCAGGACCCCGCGGACGACCTGTTTGCCCCAGGCACGCCGCCGGAGCGCGTGATGGAGCAGGCCACGAGCTGCCCACCCCTCGGGGCCCACCTCGACACCGATCTCGGCCGGCTGGCCCGATCCGATTCGGTGTCCGATGTTCCATCGAGCCGGTGCGGCTTGATGCCTGCGCTGCGCCCTTGTGCATCCTGGCGCGGCCGATCCGATTCAATCTCGACTCCTTGCCCATGCAGGCCGATCCGACGCATGTTCCGATCTGGTCCGATTGTCCCATTCGATGCTGGCTCATCCTGCCCTACCCCTCACCCTCCAGAGCGGGCCCCTCCACCCCTCTTCTTTCCACTGTCCGCCTGCATTCGGATGTGTCGGGCGCCCTCTTCCGCAGCACTCCCCAGCGGGCCCGCCTCCTGGGTCGGCGTTTCAAAGGCGGGGCCCTGCAGGATGGGCCCCCCCTCACAGGCGGTCCAAAGATGGGGCCCTGAGGGATGGGCCCCCGCGCCGCGCGGGTCCCGTGCCGCTGCTGGCGCAGAGGAGGGGGGGCGGGGACAGAGCGAGCATACGGTCTCCTCGCCCGTCGAGGCGCCCCTTGCGCGGATGCGCCGCGCGGAGCGTAACCGTGCGACCGCGTGCCCGCGAGATCGCGCCCTGGAATCCTGGCCGCGAAGGCGCAGATTCGGATACGTTCGGTGGCAAATCATGGGAGCCTTGTGTGTACCCTCGTGGCTCCGTTTTTCGAGTGCACCAGCATCGATCATCGTCTGGTAATCGATGAGGGGGCGGGTTGTACATCAGGAACAACTGAACGAAAGTTAGAACCTGGGGGAAACGTGAACATGGAGAGGAGGAGGAGGTCGAAAAACAGGCCGTAAAAGTCGAACATCGGGACGAAGTCGCTCGGATGCCCTATGCTCTCTTCAACACCTCGCAATCCTCTGCCATCTGCGCCATGGCAACGAGCCCCATGCGGCAGACGGCCACCTGGAGCTCCGCTCTGCGGGCCGCGGACGCGTGAGCCGGGAAAGTGATCCATCCCGTCTTCAGCGTCGCCCGCGGCTGGCGTGCCCACCAGCCAGGTGGGATGTGGTACGCGTCGTTCAGCTCCTGCCGGAAACCCGCCAGGGCGGCGCACTCGGCCACGTAGTGGCGCGCACTCGGTCGATGGGGACCCCCGCAGGACGGGCAGGCCGCCGTGAGATCGGGCCTGGTGGTGCTCCATCTTCTCGTCGGGCTGTGTGTCGCTCCGCAGCGAAAAATCTTCAAGTGGATCCTGTCCTCCAGGGTCAGCGAGTCCCGGAAAGTGGACCACGCTCGTGCCGAGGAGGCTTCAAGGCCGATCTGGTCGACCCCCTCCGAGTCGTGGCGAGACGCGGATGCGTGGGCAAGAGTTCTCGCCCGGCATACTTGGCGAAGGAGGTGCGGCACCATCTCTTCGTCGCTCCAGAAGATGTGTCTGCGCCCGCACAATCGGCGAACTCGGACATCAGGCTCGTCCACCGAGCGTCGGAACTGCACTCCGCGCTCTGGGTCGTACTGCAGGAACTCGAAACCTATGGCATCGAAGAACGACGTGACATTCATCTCGAGGAATGTACTCCAGCGGAGGTCCCAGGTGGTGATGCGATCGATGGCCGTGAGCACCGCGCTGAAGATGGGGTGCAGGTCGATATTCGAGGCCCAGAAACGGCCTCGGCACCACCAAGTGCACCTCGTCGAAAGCACCGCTGACATCGCTGCTGGGACGACGTCGGGTGGTGGCAGAGAGAAAACCGGGGAACACCAAGTCCACAACGGTTTAGCGTAGGCCCGGACCGCCGTGGCCCTGGCTTCGCTGCCTCCCGGGAGGCCTCGGATGGCGTGCAAGCACTTGCGGAGCTTGGTCCAGCCCCCGGCAGGCGTAATCGGCTCATCCGGAGCATCAGGGACAGCGAGGATGCCGATGTGCTCGATCTGCGTCCTGTCCCCTCGCTTCCAGACCTGGCGCTTCCCGACGTTCTCGATAGCGCCCGTGCCTGAGTCGAAGGCGTTGGTGGCCTGCACGTCCGACTCCATCTGCGGGACGGAGTCGAAGACGGCGGACCTGTCGTCCATGAAAAGGAACTTGGTGCCGTTGATCTCCCAGGGGGAAAGTACGTGGCACAAGACCTTCGGCGCCGTGCTGTCCCCTTGAGCGAGGCTGCGCGTAGGCCAGAGTGTCTCACCGGCCAGCTCTCCCGCCACCTGGCACCTCCGAGGGCCCCGCCAGGCAGCGTTAGTCACCGCCCGCACTCGGCGTGGCGTCTGGGCGTTGCGGAGCGCCGCGTCTGCCACCGCATGCGGCACGTTGTCGTAGCACTTGGACAGGTCACGCTCCGGTCCGCACGAGCCGTGCTGGCAGGCGTGCAGCCACAAGCAGCAGGCGTGGACCACCGTGGAGCCCGCTTTGCAGGCGAACTGAGCGTCCTGTGGCGTGGGCAGGCTGGGCTCGCAAGCTGTGAGCCAGGCCCTGAGGAGCACGGAGCCCACCCCTATAGGCCGGGACTGCGTCGGGTCTTTCTTTGGCACCCCAACAACCCGCCAGGCGAAGAGGAGGTGCTGGAGCTCGGTGGTGGGCCTCTCGACCAGGAGGGTCTCGCAGGTGTCCCGCCATAGCGTGTAGAGTTCGAAAAGCAAGAACTCGAAATGCTCGGAGATCAGCTTGAGCTCGCTGGAGTGCCAACCGTCATAGCCTGCGCTGCCTTTGGCCTTGCGCACGGCGACCCGGAAGTCGGCGTGAGAGGGGCGCCACTCCTCGTCGTAGGCGTTGGCGGTCTTCGGCAAGGGCTCGTGCGCCTCCGCGGCGTACTGCTCCCACCTGGCCGCGCACCTCTGCTCGTCGTAGTTGGGGTCTGACGGGACCCACGCTCGCTTCCACTCCTCCGTCATGTCCTCGGCATTGAAACTGGGACACTCGGAGGGCCCATGAACCTCTGCAGTGGCTGCCCTCCACGTGTCCGTCGTGAAGTGCTGGAAGAGGCGGCGCCACTCGGAGCGGCGATCTCTGAGCAGGTCCCGCTGGATCGCGGAGATGGCCTTCGAGATCTTGCCGTGTGCCTCTGCGTGCGTCGGCCGGCCTTTCGGGCCAGCTGTCAACCGGCCCCGGAGGGCCGAGTCCACGTACTGGCGCAGAAGAGGGCCAGCGATGAGCTCGTCTGCATGGTCGCGGAGCTGGTGGGCAACGCGGCGACCAAGGCGTTTCAGGCGTACCAGCTCCATCGGCTCGGCGGGCCGCGCCGCCGGAGTCGTGGCCACCCTGCGCGAGGTAGGGAGGGATCCCTTGGGGCGTTCAGCGGCCCCGTCTTGTAATACCCACCCCTGGTGGGCAGCTGCCGTCAGTGTCCCCTCGGCCCGGGCGTGCCATCGCTCCCACCTCTCCGGGAGAGGGGCGGCGGCTGGGCAGGCCGGCAGGGTGGCATCCATGTGGCTCTGCAGCTCCTCGGTGTCGCTCGCCAGCAGGAGGGTGCCCGGGTCGAGCGTGAACCGTGTAGTGCGGCGCATTCGCGTAGCCTGCGCCGACGGGGCGGCGACCTGCGCAGAGAAGATCACCAGCCCGTGATGAGGAATGAGCGGGAGGAAGGCGACGCTCTCAAGCCTCAGCTCGATGCCGGCCCCCACGGCTCGCGTAGGAGAGGTCCCTGCTAGGGTCGTAGGCGTAGTTGCGGCACGCAGGACGGCGTGCGTCGGCAGCGCGTTGACGTAAGAGGGGCGCCAGTTCAGGTCGCCAGCGATGCACCGCGGCACCGGCGGAGTACCACGAGCCACGGTGGATGTGAAATTGACGACTTCCTCCATCCAGGGGCCGGAGCGCACTGCAGCGGGCCCATGCCCAGATGTAGAAACTCCCAGCTTGGTACGAATAGCAACTTCACGATGGGAAGCGGCTCGATGAACAGCAACACGCCCAAGAGAAGGGCGCCAGAAAATGGCAGTGCCGCCCTGCTGAACGGCACGCTTGGCGTTCCTGGGTGGAGGCGTGGAGCACGCCACGCGCCAACCATACTTGAGCGCGAGCCTGGTGACCCGCGCGGGCTTGGCGGAGGCTAGCTGGTAATCGATGAGATAGCGCCGATTTAGCGTCGATTAGCGTCGTTTCAGCGTCGGCTAGCGTCGACTCGCGTCGATTAGCGTGGGTACGCAAGAGCCAGCAAGATGACGCGGGAGGCTCCCAGGAGTTGCCGCCGAAGGTTCGATGTTTTGGCCATTCCAACCCGATGCGATTCCTATCTTCCAGCGATTCGATGCGCCCCGCTGCTTGCACGGGGCGGTTGTGCATCCTGCCTGACGCAGCCAGCCCGACGCGCACTTCGATTCGATCCGACGTCCCGACCCGACGATGACTGATGCTGCCTCCAGGTCAAGGGTCAAGGTCAAGTCGGGTCGATGAGCCCGCGGAGGCCCATCGCTCCGAAAGCGGAGACGGGGCGTGAGACACTACGGCAATGAGACGCGCACGCAAGAGAAGGGTCGATACACAGTCTGCGAAACTTGTATTATACATCAGGCGTGCCAATACGTATATGAGCGAGTAATAATAAGAGTTTTCCAGCCGCTGCCAAGGGAAACGATGCGTCATGTCTCGGCGTCACCCAACACACTTTTACTATATGTGCGTCGCCCCCCCAGGGGCGACGCGCGCACCGAGGAATCTTATGGTCTATGCGTCGTGGCCGGCGCTTTCTGGCCACACCGCTGGGGAAGCGATATACCACAAGATGGGTATACTACATGTTCGGGTCGGACGCGCGCCTTTCATGTGGACTTGTAGCATCAGTATGTTTCTGTGCGTCCCGACGGAGCGTTGCCCAGCCGCCGCCAACGGCAACAGTGCGCCATTGTTCGCCGCTCGCGAGCCGAGAGGCCCTGCCGCCTGCTCGCTGTCAAGCGCCCCTCGGGGGCCGGGCGGCGGCGCGCGCCCGCTCGCCGGCAGGCCCTCGCGGAGGGCTGGGCGCCGGGGGCGCTGACGCGGCCCCAGGCCGGGCCCCGCCGTGGGGGGGGGGGGGCGGAGGGCCCCTGCGCGCGTGCCCGCCGCCGCCTCCCCAGAGAGCCAGCGCACTGAGCAACAGACGCGACGGAGGACTTTTAGAGTCTTCGGCCTCCACATGGGCCCCTGCCGGGCCTCGGGGCCGTCGGAAAACGACTCGGGATGAAGAGCCGGTCCTGGGGAACGGGTCGAGACTTCCAGGGACCCCGTGTTGAACAAATCACGTCGGATCTCTGGGTCTGCCGCCCCCCGGCGCAGCCCACCGCCCTCCCCTTCGCCCGGGCCAGTCTCGGGCTGCTCCCGGGCGCGCTCGCGCGCCTGCTCGGCCCCCCCTCGCCTCCTGCCCGCGGGGGCCTGCCCGCCTTGCCTGGTTCCTCCTGGCCCCTGGCCCTCGTCTCTCCCGCCCTCCTTCCGCCTCCCCTTTTGTCAGGAGTGAAAAAAACACGCAGACACAACAAAATCGTCGACTCCCAGGAAAAGATGCGAAAAGCTGGGAGACTGGGGGGAAGACAAACGCCCAGGAACTATTGGAAAACAGGGGGAGTCCTGTTATTTGTGTGTGTATTTCTCTGTGTGTCCCAGGGCCCCTTCACCTCGTCCCATTTGCACGGCCCCTGGAGCGGCGTCCGCCGCGCAGCCGAACGAGGCGCCGGGACGCGGCGGTGGCGGAGGTCACGGCCGCAGCGGCCGAGGCAGGCCAGGCACGAGGATGGCCAGGCCTGGAGGAGGGGGAAGGGAGGGAGGAAGGCACCGCGCATCCGAGGGAGGATGCCCTCCTCCGCCTCCTCCCCCTCCCCCTCCCCCTCCCCCTCCTCCCTCCTCCTCCTCCTCCTCCTCCTCCTCCTCCTCCTCCTCCTCCTCCTCCTCCTCCGTCGCCTCCTCCGTAGCCATTTTGGCTCAAGACTGATGCTTTTGCGGGCTGAGCCCGCATTGGCCAAACTGGATACCGCTAATCCGCGGCAGTCTTCATCCTTCACGGAGGTCCCTTCCTCAGTCCGCCCTGGGGATAGGGGTTCGCTAGCCTCCATTCCTGTCCTGCCATGGCGTGGCGTCGGAGTGCTCCGTGGCGCGTCGCTGGTGGCGAAGGGAAAGGCTCTTGGGTATGGCAGCCTGAGAGTGCTGGCGGTCCTCAGTCGGGGCCCCGTGGCAAGAAGAAGGTCAAGTCTAAGGACAACTCGTACAAGGTCTGTTCTCTCTGCACGCACTGGGAGTACTCTCGTCATGGTCACCGCGCCTGCAGTCTGTGCGGTGGTCAATACCTTGATGGTCCTCGTCCTGGGCATGGCGATCAGGCTCATCAGGGCGGTCCTGGTGGAGTCGGACTCGGTGCTGCTGCTGCCCCTGGCGCTGCTGCTGTCCCGATGCCGCCCCACCTCGTGCAGGAGTTGGAGCGCTGGGCTGTTCACTACCCTGCCCTTGCAGGGGTGGCTCGCGATGCCGCCCCGCCTGCGCCTCCCGAGATCCGTCTGTTCACGGCTGGTGAGCTGGATCAGATGGCCGCGCTCGAGCAGACGCGGCTTGTTCGGGAAGTGGAGGCCGCATCCAAAAACGAGAGGTTGGCTGCCCAGGAGGTGCAATGGAGGTTGGACCGTTTCAACCGTGCAAAGGCTACGATGGAGGAGATGCAGAATAATCATCTCATGGCGGAGCAGAACCTCGAGGTGGCTCGCCGTGAGACGCGGGAAGCCGACTCCAGGAAGTTGGCTTTCAGTGTCGAGATGTTCAAGCAGAGCAAGATTGAGGAGCAGCGGCGCGAGGCAGAGCGCCAGGCTCAGGCGGCCGCGGACGCAGGCCGCCTCGACGCTTCAGGCGGGGCTCGCGCCCCCCCCGCCTGGCGGCGACGGCGGCCCCCAGCCTGCCGTCGGCCCTGGCGCTGCAGGCGGGGTTTGCGCCCCCCCGCCTGGCGCGGCCGTGGCTGGCTGCGCGGCCGCTGCTGATGCTGATGTCGATATGGAAGATGGTGCAGACATTATCCCTTGGTTACGTGGCCGTCTCGTCGACTTCGTGTATGTGGAGTCCCGCCTGCATGAGTTCGATGATCCCATGCTCGAGCTACTTGTCCGCTACTCTGGCATCCAGCTTGAGACGTGGCAACAGTATCGACTCCACCTGCAGCGTATGCGAGACGCACAGCCCGACGAGGTGTCTGAGTTGGGCAGTGAAGTTGGAGACGAACTCGATCAAGTTGAACGCGACCAGTTCCGTGAGCTCAAGAAGAGAGCAGGCGAGGCTGGCTTGGACGCGGCCGCAGCCAAGGAGTACACCGATCTGCTGCAGAAGAGGCTCATGGCTAAGTCTGTCAAGCGTGCGCGTACTTCCCAGGCCGTCGCCTGCGACATGTACCGCGCGTTCTGCACCGTCGCGGCCACCCAGATGGACAAACAGGGAGGTGTTGGAGGCGCTGCTGCTGCGGGTGCGGCTGCTGCTTCTGAGGCCGCCCAGTCTTCTGTGCCGCCGCGTGTTTAGCAGTGCTCCTCCGCCCCATGGGCGGCTGCAGCCCGACCAAGGAGAGGTCAAGTCTTTGATCTCTCCTGCTGTTGCAAAGCATGTGCATTTCAAGTTTGCGAATATAACTCAGTGGTCGAAGCTCACTCAGGACTTTCTGGCAGCTAAGGTTTCTGAGGTTGATGGAATATTCATGGCTGAGCACCATGTCAGAGGGCCTGAATGTTTTCGGGCCAAGAAGGATTGCCGCCACATGAAGTGGTCACCCTACTTTCAGGATGCTCTTGACTCGCCTGGAGGGGGAACTCACGGAGGGGTTGCTGCTGTCGCCCAGCCACGTCTCTGCTTTCGCAAGTTTCTTGTCCAAGCGCGAGGGGCTAAGCAAGTGGGTGCAGGAGAATGTTGGTTCTTTCTCGAATTGCGTTTGAAGGCGTGTCCGGTAGCTGTTGGAGTCATCTACCTTGTGCCATCCATTGGAGTTTCTGGAGTGAACTCTTGTCGTCTGCGTGCGGTTGCTGAATTCGTTCGGGGTCTGGCTATCCCATGGTTCCTGATGGGCGATTTTAACATGTCGGTTGATTTCCTGGAAGATGCTGGAGTCTTGGAACTGATGTCCGCTCGAACCCGGGTCCCTGGCAATGTTGAGTTTACCTGTTCGGTTGGGGAAACGATGATTGATTACGTCGTGTGCTCTCACCTGTTGTTCCCTTACCTCAAAGTGTCTGCCGACCTCCTGTCCCCATTCAAGACGCACGCGTGCTTGGGCGTGATCTTGGACCTCGAAGCCATGGTGGAGCCCCAGTGTATTCGCGTGAAGCCCCTGGAGGTTCCTGAGGCCCTGGGCCCCGATAGTCGCTGGCTCACCTATATGTCGGCGGCTCAAAGCCTTGGGGAACCTTGCAAAAGCATCCTGGAGGCTCCCTTGGTCATGCCTGAGGACCTTTATGAGGCTATGTCTGAGCACTCGAAGGAGTTCTTGTCTAGGAGTCTTGGGATGCAGTATCTTATTTGGTCTCGTGCCATGGAGATGCGAGCTCTTTCACGCGCGTGCGCTCTTGTTTCTGATCCACACAGATATCTTGGTCGCGGTTCCATGCTGAAGCGAAAGGACTGTTCTCTGATGACTCGCGGTGTGCAGGCGCAGAGTTTTCGGAATCCCGACTTGTCCTTTTGGTCTCTCGTTTGGAGCCGCCTGTGTGAGTTATGGCGGCTCACATGCAAGTCACCTTTCTCTGATGCTGCTCGCCAGCATCGCACTGTTCTCTCTGCCTTGGCGGCCGACGTCTTTGCTCACATCGAGCCCCTCGTCAGCCCAGAAGACGCTGAGAGTTGGAAGGAGATGCTTGAGAACCCCCCACGATCGGAAGGTACGTAGCGAAACCTCGTCGACGCTGCAGGTGATGTTTGTGCGAAATCATGGTCCCTAGCTCATGCCAAGACTAGGAGCAGCATGAAAACCTGGTTGACGTCGTCGTTACCTCGGGGAGCTAGTCCTGTTCACCGTTACCTGAAAGCTGAGGAGAAGGTTTGGGTTGAATGCTTGGAGACTCCTGGAGACATCGTGAACGCCCCAAAGGATATGATGAGATATCGTGAAGAGAAGTGCCGTCTTGGTGGACTCCTTCCGCACAGCAGCTGTCTTGTTTGAATGCGGGCATGAGCGAGCTTAGGTCACAAGCGTTAGTCGCTCTGGAAGATACCCCCCTGCTCGAAGTTTCTGATGTTGCTCGTGCGTGTACTTGCTTCAGGGCGAAGACCGCTCTCGGTGTTGATATGTGGTCGCCTCGTGCTCTTTTGGGCGCTCCAGTGGATTCTCTCGAAGTGTTCACTGGCATCCTGCGTTCGGTGGAAGAGAATTTGTGCTTTCCCCCTCAGTGCTATGTCTGTCTCATGGCGATGCTGCCGAAGTCTATATGTGATGAGCGGGCAATCGTGAAGTGCCCCAGCATCTACATGATCTTTTGTAAGGCCAGAGGCTTTGACATCGATGATTGGAACAAGGCCCACATTGACTTCTGGGACTCTGCGGTCAAGGGCCCATCGGCCTTGAAGGCTGCCCTCTTTCGTGAGTTGGCCCATGAAGTGGCCCGTGCCTGTGGGTTCCACTCCTTTGCCCTCCACTGGGACATCGAGAAGTTCTTTGACTCCGTGAGCCCCAGCAAGCTCCTGCACTTGGCGGTGAATCAAGATTACCCCGCCCGCCTGTTGTACATGGGGCTCCTCATTCACACGTCTCCGAGGCTTTTGGAAGTGTCTGGGAGCCTTTCGAAGGTGTTGGCCTCTGGTGAGTCCATCTTGGCGGGTTGTTGTCAGAGTATGCCCTGGGTCAAGTGCATCCTTTACGGGGTCCTGGAGAAGGCTCATAATAGGATCCCTCGAGGACCTGGAGACCACCCACACGTTCGTGTCCCAATTAGGTCGTATGTTGACGACAGCACACAGTACCTGCAAGGCTCTGTCGCTTTCATCTGCCGCTACCTGCCCCAGGCCGCTGCCGATTTTCAGCATGATATCTCTGAGCTGGGGTGTGCCGTCAGCTCTAAGTCGCTTGCAGTCGCCTCGTCCGTGGAGCTGCAGCGGCTCCTGCAGGACGGGTTCAGGAGATATGAAGTCTCCATTTCTTTTGCGGATGGAGTGAAGGATCTTGGATCTGTCACTACTGCCAATAAAAGGCGATCCACCTGGAAGGTCCAGCAGAGACGCTCGCTCGCTTTCCGTCGTGCCCGGAAGTTGAGTTACCTTGCCAAGCTTTGTGGGGCTTCTCGAACGGTTTTCAAGCCAGGCATTTTGGCAGTGGGTACCTGGGGCCATGCTCTCCTTGGGCTTCCTGCGGGTGCTATTGGGCAGTTCAGATCCTCGGCTGCAGCGTGCTCTGGATTTTGGTCGTCTGGGGCTTGTGTTAGCACTGTGTTGCGAGTGTTGCATGATATTAAAGGCGATCCTGTTTATCGGCTCCGTGTTGAACAACTTACCTTGATGTCGGAGGTTTGGGTTTCTTTTCCTGAAGGTCTTCGGTCTGGAGTTCGGAGAGTCTGGGAGGCCCTGCACGACACGATCGGTAAGTCGCAGGAGTTGAGTCGGTGGCGTCTCGTTCGAGGTCCCATTGCAGCCCTGTATGCTACTGTTCTGGATCTAGGATGGGAACCACGACGTGTTGATGAGTGGCGTGCAAGTGTTGGTGTCACTCTTAGGTAGACTGATGCAGATTTCAGATATCATCTTACCTCGGCTGTCCGTGAGTCTTGCTCGTCCATTGTCTGGGCCAAGGCCGCTCAGCACTTCTGTGGGCAAGGCACTTCTGTGGGCAGGTGCTTCGCGCCAAGCACAAGCAGTTGCTCGACGACGGCGACTTTAAGGGCGCCGCCCTTTTGATTACGATTGCTGTCGGAGGTGCTTGGCCCGAGTCGCGTCTGCAGGACTGTGGATATTTGACCTCAGGCCGTTGTTTCCGATGTGGTGACGCGCGGGAAACACCTCTGCACCGTTGTTGGGGATGTCCGAGTAACCAGTACTTGACTGATCCGAGTATTGTGAATAGTGAATATTTGGTTCATGATGCCCTTGCTGCTGACCCTCATAGTGCTTTCTTCACTCGTGGGGTACCCTGCCTTGATGCATCCTGTGGTCACCTACCTCCACCCTCTGCTTGTACCTGGACATGGGGCACCCTGAGGGCTCAGCGTCGGGTTCCTGGAGGTGTGTGGGGCCTTGATGGCTCTGGAGGGGTTCACGCCAGAGATAAGAGGTTGAGGCGATGCGGTTGGGCTATAGTCAGTCTTGGGGTTCCAGATGGTCTCTCGTTGCAGCTGGATACCATTATGTGCGGTGGTCTTCCTACCTTGGAGCAGTCTAGTCCCCGAGCTGAACTTTATGCATTTATCATGGTTCTGAGTCATACTGTGGGTGATATATTGTGCTACTCTGATTATTTGCCCTTGGCGAGAGGGCTGAGGCAGCCACGAGCTCAGATCGTGGCCAGCAGCTCGATGCTCGATCTTTGGGTTCGGATCTGGTCGGCCTTAGACGATCGAGGTCCTGGTTCAGTCGACGTCCTGTGGACCAAGAGCCACTCGACGACCCACCAGAGGGCCCAATTCGCCACTGGGGAGGAGGAGTTTTTCCTTAATTGGTGTGCTGATTTCTTTGCGGGGTGGGCCACTGAACGTGTGGCCCCCTCCCCCGAACAGGTTGATGTGACGGCGTTTGTTGATCGTGTCACGTCTCACACGCTTGACCGCCTTCTGGCGGTGCATCGGGAGGTTGTGGAGCAGAACCCCCGCCGTGTTGCTGATCGGCTCGGCCGTCCCCCCCTCGGCCCCCTCCTATCCCTGTCTTCCAGGTCCGCCTTAGGAGAATGAGGAGTGCGGGTCATGAGTCGACCTTGAAGGGTACGGCTCTCCGCTGCCAGATCTGTGAGCGTCGATTCAGATTGAAGGGCCGCGTCCAGGACTTTTGTCCTGGTCCCTGTCTCGGCCCCGCTCACCTTTCCTCTGATCCGCTCGCGCACCCCTTGTATCCTTCGTGCGCGGGCAATCATAGGTTGAATGTGCTCCGCGGTGTGCTGTATTGCGAGCGTTGTGGTGCCCATGCTAGTGGGCGCAATGTGCAAAGCCTGGCCAAACCCTGTAAGACTGATCGTCCCCCCACGAAGGCTGGGAGGGAGGTCCTGTCCAGGTTGGCTCGTGGTCTTCCCCCCAAGAGTGGCGGCAAGTTCCCCCAGGCTTGAATGTGATGTCGTGCCCAGGCTTGACCTGGTCTCCACGGGTTTGCATCATCATCATCCTCCGTCTCCTCCTCCTCCTCCTCCTCCTCCTCCTCCTCCTCCTCCTCCTCCTCTCCCCGTCCTCTCTCCTCTGCCCGTCGTCCTCGGGCGCTCCTCTGCCTCCGGCGGCCGGAGTGGGCGCGAAGGGGTGGCCCGAGCCCCGCTCTCCGCGGCGCGCGGACTGGCCCAGGAACCAGCGCGACGCCCAGCGGGTCACCCGCGCGGCGCAGGTGCACTGCTCGGGGGTCTGCTTCGGCCACGCGCAGAGAGGTGTAGGGTTGAGTCGGGCCTGTCCCTCCGCAGGAGGAATATTCGAGAATCGTCAAGAAAGAGTATGGGATGATTTTCCCGACTGTTCTCGATTATTTTTGCGTAATTTTTGTTTTTGTTTGGATTTCTCCTCCAAGCTCCGCCTGTAGGAGGACATGCCCGACCTAAGGATACGGGGAGGGGGGGGAAGTTTTTCTAGAATCACCCTGCTCCTTAGAATGCGCGGGCCTTGTCTAAAGATGTAAGGTAAGGCTGGCGCCTTCTAAGAAGCCTTCCCCCCTCCCCCATACCCCCTTGTGCGCGCCGCCAGCTGCTACAGGTGCCCCTGGCCCACGGTGTCCCCAGCCTTCCGCTCCATTTGGAGTCCCTGGGGCTCTCTGGGCCTCGTGAGGGGTGCCCTGGAGGCCGCCGGGGCCTCCTGTGAAATCCTTGGGGCATCCTGGGTCAGGGGCACTTCTACTGTAGCAGCACCCGAGCTGCGCCGTGGCCCAGCACGCGCCCGCAGCTGTGGCGCAGCGCGGATGCGGCCGGGGGCGACCGTCGCAGCGCAGCTTTCCCCGCGGTCAGGGTCAGGGGCTGCGGCCCGCAGACCAGAGGGAGTGTCGGGTGGACTTGCCAGCAGTTGAGACTCGCCCCTGCGCTCGCGGGAGGAGGAGAAGGAGGAGGAGGAGGAGGAGGAGGAGGAGGAGGAGGAGGAGGAGGAGGAGGAGGAGGAGAATGATGATGTTGATGAGGAGGAGGAGGAGGGGGAGTGGGAGGGGGAGGGCGAAGGTAATCATAACATGCGCGTGGGCGATGTGCTGAACCACGAGAAGAGGAGTGCAGTAGCGAGGGGTCGAAGCGGCTTCGGCTGGCCAGGCTTTGCAGGCCCCCGCCAGGCGTGCCTGCTGCTGGGGCTGCTCCCCTGGTCGTCGCCGGAGGACGTCAGCGCCGCGAAGAGGCGCATCGTGGCGAAGGTCCCGCCGGCCAAGGGCCAAGGGTCCCCGAGGGGACCCCTTCCGGGGCAACGTCAGGGCGGGACAGACTCCCCCCCTGGGGAGGGCCACTGGGGCGCGGGACCCTGCGCCTCTCCTGGGCCACCCCTCTGCAGAAGGGAGCTGTGCACCATGTCCTGCCCAGGCCAGGCATGGCCGCAGTGTGCGGGTGTCTTTGCGCAGCCTCAGCCCCTGCAGCCGCCACGGGGTGGTGGTGGAGGGGGAAAAATGGAGCAGGGCCTGCGTGGCGGTGGGGTGTGGGGGGCTTCTGCAGCATTGCTGCCCTAACGGGCCTCCCCCCCCTCCCCCCTCCCCCCTGAGCCCCCCTCTCTGCGCCATTCCCAGGACCCGATCGCTCCCAGAGCTGCTGCTCAGAACTTGCCAGACTCCCTCGGATACCTCCTCGGCCCTTCCGAGAGTCGCCCGAAGCTCGCCGACCACCTTTGGGCGCCTTCCAAACGAAACGTGCCCCCTCAGAAGCAACACCTGCAGGGAGGGACTGGAGGCACCGATCGCCAATCGCCCGTTTATCGCCAATCGGGGTCTGGAACCCCCACACGCCCAGGAACGTGTGGTTTCGCTGTCGGGGGCCTACCGCTGACCTATCGAAGATGCACCGCCGACTTCAAGTCAATGATCCCCCCCCGTGCCAGCCCCTCTCTGTCGCTCCCCCCTCACCCTGGGCTGCCTGGACTCGGCCTGCCAAGAGGTGCACCCGGACAGGAACCCGGGCAAGCCTGGCGCCGAGCAGGCACTGAGGCTCGCGCTGGCGGCCGCGGACCTGCTGCGCTGAGCCAGCACCCTGGGCACCGCCGCCGGCGCTGTGCGCCGCTTCGGCTCCAAAAGCGAAGACCAAATGACTGCATACATCGAAGAAACATGAACTGCATAAACATAAGCATTCGGCTGTTCGCGCGGATTTGGATCTGCGCTGGACCCCACTGGCGGAGCCTCCGGGGGTCAAGCGCAGATCCAAGAAATCGGCGCGGCCCTGCAACAACTTATGTTTATGCAGTGACTTGTTCTTCGAGCATAGTTAAGGGTGAGCAACTTTCCAAAGCTACCCTTGCATTCTTGCCCCTTCGGCCCATCCTTGGCGGCTCTCGCTGGCCAACCCCGTTCGAAAACGTTCACAAGGCCCCCCGAGGCCCTTGCATCCTTACCGTGCATCCTTATTTTTTCGACTTGGCTGTGAACAACCTTTCGGAGGTCTGTTATTCAAGACGCTTCGCGTTCACCGCCCGCCCATTCCAGTTCTCGCCAGACGAGGCGAAGACGGCTCCATGACGGGATAAACATAGGCAGGAATTCATACAAGTCGTGTGCTTTGTTGTTTTTGTCCCGCGTTCTCTCTTCCTATGCTATCGCCTACTGTGCTCAGGCATGCCTCGTGGTTGTTCGAGAGTAGGTTTGTCGTACTTGCTACTGTTAGTGGTGGTGGTGCTGCGGCTGGTGTTGCTGTTGTCGCTCCTGCTGGTGGTACGGTGCAGTGCGGGTGCCGCTGCTGCTGTTGGTCCTATTTCTGCTGCTGCTGCTGGCGCTGCTGGCGCTGGTGCTGATGGTGCTGGTGTTAGTGCTGCTGCTGCTTGTGGTGCCGCTGCTGTTGTCAGTGGTGGTGGTGGTGGTGCTGCTGCTGGTGCTGGTCGCAGTGGTGGTGCTGCCGTTGCTGGTGGTGCTTCTGCTGTTGACGTTGCTCTCTGGGGGGCCTGTTGGACGTTCTCAAGAGAGCCCAGTGGTGGTGAAGGTCAAGGGCCACGCGTTCGACTCGAAGGGTGTGAGCGAGTGGCAGACGAGCATCGGCGAGCTCTCGCACGTTCACTGGTCGGCGTCGGAGGCGAGTGCTCGTGTAGATCGGTGTCTGCAGCGGTTGCGCGTAGTCGGAGAAGGACGCGGGCGAGTGAGCCTGTCGTGGCGGGTGGCCGCGCGCACGCCCGACGCGCGTGAATTGAAGTGAGGGATGAGGGTGCGACAACGCGGCAGGGGGGATAATTGCACTGGCGGGCATGAGGGGGGCGGGCACACACTAGCTGGCGGGAGCGCACACGGCAGGCGCATGAGTGGCAGGATTGAGCAGGCGGGCGTGGTGGTCTTGGCCGAGGTGCGCTGGGGGTTGCGACTGTAGACGGAGATTTTTTTGAAGGTCGCGCCTATGGGCGAGGCTTGCGACTTGGTCGGCAGAACGGTGCGGCGTCATGTCGACGGGTCGCACGATCTGCTGGCGCCATGGCTCGAAAACGTTTTCCTCCCGCAGTCGTTGTCGTCGATCTCGGTCTAGACTTCCTTTGCATTGAGGGCTCTGTGCCCCCCCTGACGACGGCGAGGCGGGGGAGCGGGGCAAGACAGCAATAGGTCCGCATCGGGTGTCACGCGCGCCCGATGTCTGAGAGACGCGAGTGGGCGCGCAGCGTTTTGTGTCGGTGTGCGGGCGTCAGCAGGTGTCAGTGGCGGCATGCTCCCGTGGTGGGCTGCTGTCATGCGGGGGCGTGGCATTCCCGTAGTTCTGTCGCGCTTGTGCAGTCGACTGATCCGATGGTAGGGAAGGCGGCATGCTCCTGTGGTGGGCTTGTGTCATACGGTGGCGTGGCAGTCTCGTGGTTTTGTCGCGCTTGCGCAGTCGATTGATCCGATGGCAGGGGAGGTGGCTCTTGGAGTGGGTTCTCGAATGGCTGACCAGATGACTGGCCCGAGGTGTGCCGTGGTAGATGTCTGGGTGCTTGTCCCGACGGTTGCCCGGATTCTTTTCCCGTTGCTAGTCTCGGCGGTTGCCCGAGCGGTTGTTAGCCCCGACGGTTGCCCTGGCGGCGATCCGGCCGGCAAGGCGCCAAGAAGGGCCGAAGAGGAACCCGAAAAGGGCCCAAAAAGAGGCTAAGAAGGCCCCGAGGCGGTCTGGGGGAAGCCCAGGGCGGCTCAAGCGACAGCACTTCCGCGTTGGGTCGCAACCGCGTCCGTCTCGCAGTAAAAACCGGGCGGGGTCAGACCTGGTTCGGGGTCCGTTTTGCGGCCCAACATGGGCCCCGCAGCGTCCAAAATGAACCCCGGAGCGCGCCCAAAAACGGCGAACAAAAGGGAGCGATGAAAAATGACGCACGCGAGCCCGGAAGTCAACTGTAAGCAGCGTCCTGGACAGCCTTGGGGAAGCCGAAATCAGGCCAAAACCATAATATTTGCTTTTTGTTTGACATCCCCACGTGTCGGCGGGAATGAGCCAAAGAGGCGCTGTCGAGGGCTCCGGGAGCGGATATTGGAGGCCAAGAAGGGGCCCCAACGGGGCCGAAATGGAACCCGCAGGCGCCCCGGCAGCGTCTTCAGAACGATACCAAGATCGAGCTTGTCTTGGACGCCGTCGTGGAGCCGTTTTGGAAACCGAAAATGGACATTGCCGCAGCCGGGCGGCGGAATGGCGGAGGCCTCCGGGGGGGGAAAAAGGGGGGGCTAAAGCTCTGTAGTTAAATCCCACACGCCCTCAGCCCGGTGGGCGGGCGGATTCAAGAGGCTTACGCCATTCCGCCGACCTCTAGAAGGAGGAAGTAGCCTAGGAAGTTTCTAAACGCGCGTGCGCCACATGTGGCGTTCGAGAAAGGGCCTTACCTTCGAGGGGCGAATGAGTTATCATCTCTTCCTCGGCGGCGGGCGGCGGAAGGGCGGCGGAAGGTCGGCGGAGGTGAAACGAGGCCGCCTCCGCAGGCAGAAGACGGCGGCAGACCGGCAGAAGGCGGCGGAAGCAAAATATACGCCCCAAGGAGATGAAAACGTTTTTCCCAACCATCCTGTGGTGTTGGGTCCTCGCTTTGAAGAGACAGCGCCCCGCGTCCTCACTCCCTCTGCCCCCTCCCCTCCCCTCTCCTCCCGTCCCCCTCCTCACTTTGGCACACCCCTCACACGTTTCGTGGCCCCATAGGGAGCTCAACCGAAGGCCCAAGCGACGACAACGTTGTTGGGCTCAGGGTTTGCGGAATCCGCCAAATGTCGCACCCGGTGAAATTCAGGTGGAATACGGTGCAGTGTGACCGCGTGAATGTGAACTAGCGCGCAGTGGGTGCGCTCGTGGCCCTGCCGAGGTCGACGTAAGTCCCGACCTTCCCGGCACAAGAAGCTCGTGACGTTGCAGCCGCTGGAGGATGGGAGGTTGCTGGAGGCGGCCCGAAAGACGCCGACTCCTCTTCCACACCTCTCACCACCCACCAAGCCACCCCAACCCAACTCGAAGGCCTCAATTTGCCCTCCATTTCCTGTGGTGAGGGGGGTCGGGGAACATCGACAAAACACATATGGAACCCCTACCCCCCAACCCGAAATTCGGGTCTTCGGGTTGGGTTGGGGTGGTCTGGTAGGTAGCCAACCTCCTGCTCCGCCGAGATTCAAATGCGTCAACCAGAAACGCCGCAAACCTGAGTTGGATGGTCTTCGTCATGATGTTGAGTTGCTTAAGTCTCATGTGGCCGAGAGTATGCAGTCTATCTCCTCCAACGTTTCCCGAGTTGCCGACACACTCAACCAGGCGATGGCCAGCCTCAAGAGCAGCATCAACGATGCTCATTCAGCCGTCCACAGGAAGGTTGAGACCCGCCTGTCCCTCACCGAACACAAGGTACAGGCCCAGGATAGTCGCATCACCGCTGGTGAGAAAGGCGTCTCTCTCTCTCTCTCTCTATATATATATATATAGATCAAGCTCCCTCGTGAGGAGCTTCGCGTTGCCAAGGGGACCCCCCGTGGTCCAGCAGTTCCTGCCCAGCTCCAGCGAGACCGACGCCAGCTTTATGGTCGTGCGCTCCCAGCTCCTCGTCGCCGCCCAGGCTGTCTCAGGCGTCATTCATGCATGGCTGGCAGACTAACTTCTCGGATGATGCATATGCAATGACCAAGAAGTTCGTCGTCCGTGTTTCAGGTCCCAGAGGTTTGGCTGCCAGGAAAGTTGCGCAGGCATGGGGCAACCGACGTATACACCGTGCAGGCGGAGGTACTGGTTCTTCCCGGCGCCGCCAATTCGTCAACACATTTGCTTCTGGTGAGCCGTCCGCCCTGTTCATTGGCCCCGACAAGAACGCATGCACCATCAAGCGTGAGACTTCGTGCAAGGCCGTGCGTCGCAAGCTGATGGACGTTTCCCACCGCGGCGCTTCTTCGTGGAAACGCTCAAAGGAGTTATCTCGTCAACTTGGCGCCCTTCGATCAAGGTCGCGCCACAGCCTGGGAAGTCGCCGCCAGCCGTTGAGTGCGGCGCTGAGAATATCATACCTGAGGGCTTGCAGCAGAGTGGGCACGCGCTTCGTGCGTACAGGCGCTCGCGGTCCCTGCGCCCACCGCGTGGGGTCCCTAACAACTCTTGTGTCCCATGGCATGCCTCTTCTTTCAGAGTCGCGACGTGGAATGCCCGCGCTCTGTCCTATCGCGGCAGCAAGGTGCGCGCTAAAAAACAATCGCTTTCTGAAGCGGCTCCTCCAGCGAGGCAGCGTCGATGCCTTTCAGGAAGTGCGTGGCTCGGAGCCCCAGCTAAATAATCTCCCCCACCATCTCCCCCCCCCGTGCTTCTCCTCTCACTTTAATCCCAGCGCACCAGGTGTGGTCACTCTTTTCCCGTGTTTTACGGCTTCAGCTGAATTGCTGGAGAAGTTCGGCTTCGAGCGCCCGCTCACCTCTTCCCTAGCCCTGGTTCCTGGGCGAGCTCTCGTCGCGAAGTTCGGCTAGTTGAATGGCCAGTGCCGGGTTGAACATTACAAGTTTCGCAATTTGGACCCCTTTTGTGTTGAACGGCAAGGTTTGCTTGCTGATATCCGATCGGCTCTTCTCCGAGCCCATGAAGACCCCTTCAATTTGGGTGTTCATCTCTAGGGACTTCAATATCGCTGTATTCGAAAGAGCGTGTTCTACCGCTGCTGGCGGAAAACCGGGGGGGGTCACTACCGGTTCGAACCCCTCCCCCCCCCCCCCTCCGGAAAACCGGGGGGGGTCACTACCGGTTCGAACCCCTCCCCCCCCCCCCAGCTCATCATGAAAAGGGGGGGGGGTCACTACCGGTTCGAACCCCCCCCCCCCCCTCGAAAACCGAGTGGGGGTGCGGACAGTGGTGGGGACGGTGTTGGTGGGGACAGTGGTGAGGGGACAGCGGGACAGTGGTGGGGACAGTGGGGGGACAGTGGGACAGTGGTGGGGACGGTAGTGGTGGGGACAGTGGTGGGGACAATGGTGGGAACAGGGGGGACAGTGGACAGTGGTGGGAACGGTGGTGGTGGGGACAGTGGTGTGGGGACAGTGGGAATGAGGTGGAAACACTGGGACAGTGGAGGGTACAATGGTGGTGGGGACACTGGTAAAGGCGGTGGCGAGGACGGCGGTGGGACAATGGGACAGAGGTACAGTGGGGACAGTGGTGGGGACAGTGGGGACAGTGGTGGAAACAGTGGGACAGCTCAGTGGGACAGCGGAGGAGTCAGTGGGACAGTGGGGACAGTGGGGATAGGCAGTGGTTGGGTCCGTGGAGACAGTGGGGAGAGTGGAACCGTGGTGGGAACAGTTGTGGGAACAGTGGGGAACAGTGGGGACAGTGCGACAGTGGTGGGGGCATTGGTGGGGACAATAGGGACGGTGGTGGAACCAGTGGGGACAGTGGTGGTGAGGACAGTGGTGCTGGGAACAACAGTGGGGGATGTGATGCGAGCGGTGGTAGGGACCGGGAGTCGTTTGCTGGCGGTGCGTGGGGGGGGGGTCGAACCGGTAGTGACCCCCCCTCCGGTTTTCGAGGGGGGGGGGGGGGGTTCCAACCGGTAGTGACCCCCCCCGGTTTTCCGGATCCGGAGGGGGGGGGGGGGGGGTGGGGGTTCGAACCGGTAGTGACCCCCCCCGGTTTTCGAGGGGGAGGGGGGGGGGGGGGGGGGGAGGGGTTAGGGGAGGGGGGGGGGGGGTTTGCGGGAGGGAGGGGGGGGGGGAGGGGTTCCGGCAGGGGGGGGGGGATTTTCGGAGGGGGGGGGGGAGACCCCGGGTTCCGGAGGAAAAGGTTGGCAATTTTCCACAGTAAAGCGGCGGTGGATCACGCTCTCTCCTGTATTCGAAGCCATCCTTCTCCTACCCGACAGCTGTGGTCCCCAAGCGATCGAGCTCGAACAACGGCTTCTCCTTCCTGGTGGTGGCGTTCTCTTGAACATTCGGTGGAGTTTGAGTTGTCTACTCCTTCCCACTCCAATGTCCAAAATCAGCGGCTCTATCGATCGGGTATTCTCTTTGTGGCCCGGCTGGATTCTCTCGCAATTCCCGTCTGGGGGGGAGGTGGTTGATCAGCCCGAGATCTTAGCACCCGACCAGATCTCCGACCACGCGGCGGTGTCGGTGCTCCTGCATCTTCGACCTGATGCGTCTGCGGGACAGTGGATCCCACGGGAGATTTTCTGCACGGCTGAATACAAGAGATATCTTCAGCCAGCGTAGGGTGTCGCTTTTTTTCGTAATCTTTCTCATCCTCTCCGTCTGGAACTGGAACACTTCAACATGCTGATGCTAGGATTCGCCCGTCAAGCTCGAAACAACATCTGAATGGAAGGTCCTGACTGCGCTCTCGCTCGTTCTATCATGGTGCGAAGCGAGGCCCGCGCCGTATTTCGACGGCGCTGGCATCTTGCTTTCCGACTCCTCCGATCTCACTTTCGTTGTCGGCATCAGTTCGTTCGCGATTACGAGACCAGTCGATCTCCCCCGCCTTGCCCTCCACCCTCGCCCTGCTCTCGAACGCTCTGCGCAGCGAGGTGGCGAAGGCTGCCCGTCGCGTTTCTCAGGCTGGTGCTCGGCAGCTCACTGGTCGCGCTAAGATGCGTCGGATCAACCGACGCCGGAAGCGCATGCAGAGAATGGCCCGGCTTCTGTCGCCTCTTGATCGCCGCACCCCGCTCGCTGGCATTCGGACTCCCGCTCGCGAGGTCGTTCAGACCCGTGCTAGGATCCTTGAGGCTCTGGCCGCGCACCGGGGGCCCGTGCGTTCACAGCGAGTCCTTATGATGCGAAGCCTTTCGCGGAGCAGCTTTCCTGGGTGCGTTTCCCACGGGGCCTGATTTTTCCGTCCCCCCCTGGTTTTCTCAGTCTCTATCCCCCAGAGCTCCAACATGGCGGCCCGGGACCCGCCGGGCTTCTTTGCGCTGCGTGGCAGCGCGCCCCCGGGGGGGCGGAGCTCTCGTGGGGCCGCGTGCAGTGGCTGCTCGCTGGCAGCTCGCTCTTGCCAGACAAGAAGCAGGTGTTGGGAAGCTTCGTTCCCGAAGGGGAAGAAGCAGGAGACCGCGCCACCGGTGTGATTAGAGCTCCGTCGGACACGTGCCTGCTCGGCTTGCAAAAACTGTGACCACAAGATGATCGCGGCCATCGCGTTCAAGCCCCTCGCCTGTGCCTCGCCCCCGGGCTTGGAAGCTGCCTGGCGGGGCCTTGTCCCATCCAGGATTTTTCGGGGGCGACATCGTCGAGCTCGACGCTATACATCGGGCCGCGAGCATGGGAGAAGAGATGCCTTGGGTAGCTCTGGATTTGGCCAAGCGTCCCCGTCGATGTCATATGTCCCAGCGATGGATGGTCCAAACTTTGAAGAGGGGCCCGCCTCCCTTCCCCGCTGCTGGCCCTGGTGGCCGCCCTCTGCTGGAATGTTGCTCGTGTCGGATGCTTTGGGGGGAACATCTGGTCGTTCTACTGGATCGCCGGCGGGGCCATCCAAGGCTGCCCGGCAAGTGGCAGTCTTTTTGCCGTGGGAGCCGACGCAGCTTTGATCGTGTTCAAAAGCATTGTTGGGCCCCCCCACCACCGGGGGGTTGCCCGAGCTTGTGCCCGCGACGTAGGTGCCGTTGTTTACCGATTAGTTGGCATGTTTTGTGTGTTGGGGCATTTTCCAGGATGCTGCTGGGCTGGGCCATCTCGTTCTCGACAGAAAGAAGAAGTGCAAGCATGTGCCCCTGCTTGGAGACGTCAACGGAAACGCTCGACCGCGCGTGGCTCCGTCCGTGTGTGCCGCAGTGGGCCGAGTTCGCGATCTGCCCCAGGGTTTCACATCCAGAGACTCGGCTTGGCCCAGCGGTGGCCCCCCCTCGCTTCCCGGGAAAAGCCTTTCGGCAAATGTGTTGCCCGTCCCTGTGAGATTTCGCGCTAAGGGTCTGTCCTCTCCTTCGCCTCCCTCCTTCGCGATTCCATGGATGTTTCGGTTTCTCGCGTGTGGGCCAGTTCCAAAACTTCCTGGCCTCCCAATTGAAGACCGAATTCAAGTTGCTTACGGGCTTCTTTAACTTCCCTGTTCCCCAAGCAGAGCTCGCACTGAGTGGGTCCTAGCGGATGTTCAAAGGTTTGGCGAGAAGTCTTGGCCGGTTTCGGTGGGCGGCTGGGTTCCTGGGCTACTGGTTTTTGGGTTCCAGGGTTTCTGGTTTCCAGTTCCGTGCCGAGTTCGGTGGGCTGCGGGGTTCCCGGGTGTCCGGGTTCCCAGGGTCTTGTCTATCTTTTTATCGATCGGTGTCATGATTGAAATCATTACCCATCTCCTGATCGAATTTACTAGTTACTTCACATTCGGTCTATCTCACAATTGCTCTCACGGTAGATTGCACGAGCGATCTCACGACCGATCGCACTATCGATCTCAACGAGTCGACATCAGTATCGGTCTCACGATCGACCTTACTATCGTCTTCACTATCGATTTCACAGTAAATCTCATTATCGATCCCACAAGCGATCTCAATATCCGCATCACTAATATTACGGCCATCCACCGATTGGGGTTTTTCTCTGGTGAAATTGTCGGCTAATTGAAGCCGCCTGGAGTAACATGGCATCGTGGGGCGGGGCGAGCATCCACAGCGTGCGGCAGCTCAATCTCGCTCAGCTCATGAGGGCTGCGCTCTTTCGACTCCTGGCAAGCATCATGTGGCAGAATGAGCGGGACCTGTGCCGAGCCTCAATCGGTTGCCAGAGACGCTCGTGGTACCCCGTGGCCAACCTTCTGGCAGTCCCCTCGTTCGCTGCGAATCTCCAAGAATCTGCAGGTTTCTGCAATTCCCGAAAGCCTGCGCGTGCTGCATATGAGTTCGTTTTCCACCTCCGTATATTCCAAGATGAACGGCCTCACCTTCCGCTCAAATCTTTTCATCCTCAACGTATTCCTCTCGCCTCCCCTACCCAGTCCCGCATGCCTGGTACATGGGGCCCGCTGTTTACTGGGAGACTTCGTGATTGCTTCCCTACCCCTTTTTGAACCGACCCACCCGAATGATGTTGCGGCAAACTGCTCGTGCCACTGTCCCCCCCTTTTCCCCCGCCTGGCTCTCGGCCATGAACATTATGGGGGGGCGGGTCGCTGCATCGGCCTTCCAGACGGGTTTGACGTGCTACTTCGGTTGCCCTGCCCTTTTGTGTAACTTCTGTCATCTCTGGGGCTGTCCCCGCTTCGCCCGCCTCCTCTATTTATCCCAGCCCTGCCGCGTTGGGTACTCGTGTTGACTAGATCACTGCGGTCGCGACCTTCCTTCCCGCCCCCCCTCTTCTCTCTTTTCCCTGCTGCCTCTTACCTCGTTCTTTCCTGCCAGCCAGCTTGCCTCGTACATCTCTGTGGGGCTGCGATCTGCGAAACTGTCGCCACTTTCGAGGGTTGTTGGGGGGGTGCAGCGTGGTGACGTCTTACGCGGATCACCAGTAACCCTCGGTGTCCCTGGGGGGCTGCGATTTGCGAAACTGCCGCCATGCTGGGGGTGCAGCAGAGTGACGTTTTACGTGGACCACAAGGAGACCTCGCCACCCATGGGGGCTGCGATCTGCGAAACTGTCACCACTGTCGAGGGCTGCTGGGGTGTGCAGCGGAGTGAGGTACCACCCAGACTCAGATTAGACCTCAGCATCCCTGGGGGGGCTGCGATCTGCAAAACTGTCGCCACTTTCGAGGCCAGCTGGTGGGTTCAGCGGAGTGTGGCATCACCCAGACTCAGATTACCCCTCGCCATCCCCGTGGGGCTGCGATCTGCAAAACTGTCGGCACTTTCGAGATTTGGTGGTGGGTTCAGCGGAGTGAGACACCACCCAGACTCAGATTGGACCTTGCCACCCCTGGTGGGCTACGATCTGCGAAACTGTCAGCACTTTCGAGGGCTGCTGGGGGATCAGCGGAGTGAGACACCACCCAGGCTCAGATTAGACATCGTCATCCTTTGGGGGCTGCCATCTGCGAAATTTTCGCCGCTTTCGTGGCCTGCTGGGGGCTTCAGCAGAGTGAGGCACTACCCAGACTCTGATTAGACCTCGCCATTTCTGGGGGGCTGCGATCTGCGAAGCTGTTATCACTTTCTAGGGCTGCTGGGGGGTTTAGCGGAGTGTGGCATCACCCAGACTCAGATTAGACCTCGTCATCCCTGGGGGGCTGCGATCTGCGAAGCTGTCGCCACTTTCGAGGGCTGCTGGGGGGTCTGGCGGGGCGCTGTCGCGGGCCGCCCGCAGACTTGGCGGCTAGCTCCCGCACTGAAAAGTGCAGGAAGGAAGCAGGGGAGCTGGCTGGCGGGCGAGCTAGACCTCGCTCGCTCCTTGCTCTCTCTATAGACAGCTTTAATCATTTTGTCGAGCGCCGCGGCGACATTGCGCAGGCAACGCTTTAGAGTGCTACCGGCAAAAGCAACACTCTTCGGTCTGTTCCCGTCACTTTCGTAGTCGTCCTCTGCCCCCTGCCATCTCCCCTCTGCTGCTGCTGCTGCTGCGCTGACCAGTCGGCCCCCCGCGCGTCCTTCTCCTGCCCTTCGTTCCCGCCCCCATTTCCTCGTCAAGCCTGGGCCCTCGCTCCTCGTCCTTCTGTTGTTGTCCTGAGAATCGTGCCACGTGAGCGCGTCCCATGTAGCTTGCGCAACATATAATGGCGCCTGCACTGCCATTGTCCTGGCAAGCTTGGGCCAAATCCCCTTGAGACTTGATGCAAATGGGTTGGGTACGTCACAGGGTATAGTCCAGCAGCTCTTACAACCATTTCCGACTGTCAGCTTGGGCTTGACGTGAATGCCGTCTGTCTCCATCGTGAATTACCGCGCCATCCCGCGCCCATCCCGTCGTGGAGGCAACGAGAGGTTGCCAGGTGTGCCCGCCATCAGCTGGCAAGGCCCATCTCGAGATAAAAAAGAGTTTGAGGACATTGGTGCGTCCCCTTCTGCCACGTTCGGGGGGGAGGAGTGGCAGGAAGAGGGGGAGGAGGGGGAGGAGGAGGAGGAGGAGGAGGAGGAGGAGGAGGAGGAGGAGGAGGAGGAGGAGGAGGAGGAGGAGGAGGAGGAGGAGGAGGAGGAGAGGAGGAGGAGGGAGGAGGGAGGAGGGAGGAGGGAGGAGGAGGAGGAGGAGGAGGAGGGAGGAGGAGGAGGGAGGGAGGGAGGGAGGGAGGGGAGGGAGGGAGGGAGGGAGGAGGAGGCGGAGGAGGCGGAGGAGGCGGAGGAGGCGGAGGAGGCGGAGGAGGAGGAGGAGGAGGACGCCTCGGATGACCTGTCATGCAACCAAAAACGGGAGCATGGGCCAATCATGTGGGCCCAGCTCGTTTACCGTGGATTCCCAGGGGGAAAAGTGACGGAACACAGAGCGGGCCAAGGAAACTCATCAAAACAGTTTGAGCTGCTGGCCATTCTTGGGGTTCTTACTCGCCTTGATGGCCTTAATTGCATGCCTCTGCTTATACAGTGTGGGGGGGGTGCTGAGAAGGGCCCAGACAGCAACCTCCAAGCTTCGAATGCCCCGCACGCCCAGCATTGAGCTGGTACGACCCACACAACGTGCATACCATAGCACCAAGATTCGAGAGAATTCGGTGACCATCTAACTCTACGATGTCATCGGAGGCAGGCAGCTGAGCCCCCGACAGACCAGGTACCACAGGATCATCGGGCAGGCTGAGCTCCTGCGCCAAACCTAGCGCAACGTCGACCGCCTCGCTCCTGTATGGCCGTGCACGCTGCAATACGACGTAATTGCGGGCCTGGAGCTTCTGTTGCTCCGTGGGCTCGCACTTAGCATAATTACTGGTCCCCGCAACGAGTTTCAACAAACTGGCTGGGGTCCGAGCAGTGGCCAAACAGATCTTGCACTGCCAGGCACCAGGGCTACGGACGACCACCTCGTGCACACGCAATCCTACCTGCTGTACAGGAATAAGGGGGGCCACCTAACTTGAGCCTCTCGGGTCTACTGCTGGTGGAGTCCCTGGTGATGAGCTTGGCTGCCGCCCAGGAGAAGAACTTTGCATTCAACTTCTCTTGACTCAGCCTTGCTTCGAACATTTTGACCGTCGATGTGTGCACTGCATGCATGTTGGCCCCCTCTCTAGCGAAATAGTCCGCCCACAT